TGATGCGCTTGTCCCTGCCGTCACTGACTTTGCCTCTACCCGCTGCCTTGACAACGCCACTGCTCTAGTCTCTGACCCTGCCCGTTTTCCGTCCGTCGGGGGTGCTCCTGCTCTTGGCAGTGACGTCCTGGAGGACCGTCAGTACGAGCTCGTTTTTCTATCCGAGGTCGCTCCTCATCTCTGCTCCATGCTGCTAGTCCCCAAGGGTGACCCATATGCCTTACACATCCCAACCCTTTGCACCTACACTGAGGCGACTTCGGGACCCTGGGCCTCTCAGTGGATAGCTGCCATGGACGCAGAGATGGCATCTTGGAGATCCACCAGCACCTACATCGACGCAGTTCCCCCACCTGGGGTGAACGTACTGTAGTCGATGGCCGATAACTCTTCAAGGTGAAGCGCCCTCCTGGAGAGTCGCTGGTGTTCAAGGCGCTCTACGTTGCTAGATGCTTCAGTCAGCGCAAGGGTGTTGACTTGTTTCAGACCTTTGCTCTGACCTCGAAGATGACTACTCTTCGAGTGTTGCTATACGTAGCAGCACAGCGTGACTACGAGCTGCACTCCCTCGAATTCTCTACTGCGTTTCTTTAGGGCAGTTTGCACGAGCATGTCTACATGCGTTGCCTGCCGGGGTCCACTGGCACCTTCGCCCCGGGGACCCAGTGGTTCCTTCGGCGCCCAGTTTACGACCTGCGGCAAGTGCCGCGCGAGTGGCACGACACGCTACGTGCTACGTTAGTTGACTTGCAATTCTTCCCGTCCTCTGCAGACCCTTCGCTCTTTGTTCGTTCAGACCAGACACTATTCTAAATCGTTGTTTACGTAAACGACCTGGTCTTTGCCACTGCAGACAGAAACGCACTGGCCTCTGTGAAGGCTAAGCTGCTGAAGAGACACACCTACACTGACATAGGAGAGTTGCGCCGCTACCTTGGCCTGCAGATCTCCAGGGACAGAGTAGCGCACACCATCACTCTGACACAGTCACACTTGGTGCGACAGGTCCTCTAGAGGTTCGGTCTTCAGTTGTCCTTCGCACAACCCACTCCTCTGCAAGTAGATCACAAGCTCTCAGGTCCAATCCCTGAGGAGTCAGTAGAGCCTACTGGTCCGTATGTAGAGGTAGTGGATTGCCTCATGTATCTGATGATTTGCACTTGTCCAGATCTCAGCATCCTGGCTCGCTTTGTGGCGACAGGCAGACACCGACCGCAACACTGGTTGGCCCTAAGAGGGTTTTGCGTTATCTAGGAAGCACATCAGACATGGGGCTAGTGCTAGGAGGACGCACGCCAGTGGTCTTTACTAGACACACAGACGCTTCATGGGTAGACGACGCTGTGACGCTCAGGTCCTCACATGGCTACTGCTTTAGCATTGGTGCATGTGCCATCTTGTGGAGGTCCACTCCTTCGTCGTCTGTTGCCCAGTCTAGCTGTGAGGCTGAGATCTACGCCGGTGCCAAGGCCGCAAAAGAGCTCCACTGGCTGACTTTCTTGCTCACAGACTTAGGTGAGCAGCCTAGCCCGTACGCTGACAACAGGGTCATGATCCTCCAGTGTCGGAAGCCCTGACTGGAGGGCAGGTTGAAGCACATTCAGCTGCGGTACTTCCTCCTACACATGCTATAGCAGTGCCGCCAGGCTCGCATAGTACACTTGGCCTCAGGTGCCAAGACAGCTGATATCTTTACGAAGGCGCTTCTGCCTAAAGATCATCAACGACACTGTGTAGATATCTTTACGACATATTTACCTAAAGATCTTGCGCTTGCCAGACACTGCCCCTCATCTAGCCTAGGGGGTGTGTCAAACATATATTTATATGTTATTATAGGCTAGATAGATGTGTACTCTTAGAGAGTACAACCCCTTAGCACAAAACCCCACTATATCTCTCATTCTATTCTATTCACTCTCTTAAGAAATACGACCGTTTCCAGCTTCGACAATTCGATCAATCTATACGAATTGGTAGACCCGTCCGGAACTCCGCGAGGTCTACCGATTCGTATGAATTATGTGATATCGTTAGATCGATAGACCTAGACAGCATATATATTCTATATATATTGTTATGTAAGCTTGGTAGGTGTTAGGTATTCTATAAATGACTGGATCCTACTGTAGAAGGTACAACCCACTTCTTGTACCTCTCTCTCTCTCTCTCTCTCTCTCTCTCTCTCTCTCTCTCTCTCTCTCTCTCTCTCTCTCTCTCTCTCTCTCTCTCTCTCTCTCTCTCTCTCTCTCTCTCTCCCCTAGTCAAATCTCTTTTCTCTCGCCACTTTTTCTATTACCTAGCTAAAACATCCTTCGTAACATGGTTTCAGAGCAGGATAATCATGTTGAGCCTACTCCTCACGCTTCTGCCACGTATCTCATTTCCTCTCACTACCGCGCCGCCATGGTGGCCTCGTCGTGCTGCCGTGGCAGCCTCGACACACTACCGTGACGGCCACGACTTGCTGCCATGGCGGCCTTGAAGCGTGGTGGCCTCGTCAAGCAGCCGTGTCAGCCTTGCCGCGCTGCCGCGTCGGCCTCGTCGTGATGCTGTGGCAGCTTCGATGCGCCAGCGCACGGACGGCAGCGGTTCACGCACTGTTTTAGGCGCCAGCCAGTACGTCCGCATGCCAGCCAGCGCTTCGCCAGCCAGGGCGCGCCTCGCTGAAGACGCGCCCCCTCCCATGCATCTCCTCTCATCCCATCCGCAGCTGGTGGCTCCCTTCCCCATCGTCGTGGGGTCGTGCCACGCCGCCAGGTGTTGCGGGTTTCGCAGACAATGCCACCATCGTCAAAGCCGCCGCCGCCGCTGGAGGTGTCGCTGGCTCCGCTGCCACTCGCCACCGCCGCCGCCACTGTCGTCGTCGTAGCCGTTGCTGCCACTCGCCGCTGATGTTACCGTTTCGCACGATGGGTAGAAGCCACAGCTGCTGCAGGATATGAGGGTGCAAGGGCTTGGGAGTGTAGCGCGATCTCTGAGTGATGTTCGACATCCGCGAACCTACGGTTATTGATCGCCTGGAGCGCGCATCCCCCCGCCTGGACACTAACAATGCGCCCGGCGCGGCAGATGAAGAGTACCCCGGTCATGTCCGCGGAGCCACTGCGGTTATGACCGGATATCCAGACGCGGGCGAGTGGATGACCTTTGGCGCGCAGGCCGCTACCTATTGCGGGTACTAGGCGGTTAATTACGCGTATCTGGTTTGGCGTGATGAACTTCCATGGCACTGTAGTTCGGATTGGGCAATCTCGGTCAACGTAAGCGAGGTTTTCGGCCGGAGTCTAATTTCGAGTGTAGTCTTGTATCGAGTGATGTCTTTGTCGAATCTATTCTGTTTGTTACTTTATTGCAGTACATGTTTGTCACAAGCGGAATCAATTCTGACATTCTCTTGAAATGCGGAGTTGATACACATGTGGAGAGGCTTGCGACGTGGCGATGTTTACTCAGTCGCTGCATACGCCAGTCAAGCGGCCCATGCACAGTAAAAAAAAAAACAACGCCCCATTTCCTGGGGAAACCCCATAGTCCACGTTGCCCCTACCGTACGACCAGTATTCGTTAAAAGGAAAATCTGCCGCGTCACCCCCCGGGTGCTAAGGGAATATGACATGTACCTAGCTAAAACCTCCCTCGTAACAAACCCTACCGACGCAAAACGACAAAATATGCCCGCCCTAGAGTGTTGTCGTCGAATTCCAGGCTGACGTGACTCTAAACCCTAATGTTTTAGACGGCATCCGTAGCCCCCTAATCCCTTTCTCCCCTACCCGTTTGTTTCTGCCTTTTGCATCGGTATATATACAGGTCATATGCCTTGTAGGCGACTTCCTTTTACGCCCGGGAGTATCTCATAGGCATTTTATCCTTAAGGACCTCTCCTTGTAAGCAAAGTGTACCCGTCTCAAATGAACAGTAAATATGACAGTCAAGTCGGATGATGTAAGACCGTCCAATCATTTTCTCCTGTGCTTTCAGAGCGACCACGCCTAGTGGTCGGCGAGCCTCTGAAAATCAGATGTGTCAGGCTCGCCAACCAATGTCGAAAAAAAAAAATCCAACAGCTCGCTGACGGTCCAGTAGGATTACGACTGCAAAGCCAACGCAATCCGTCGGCGTCGCCCATAGAAAATCCGTCAAACCACAACCAATAGGAACGCGCCCAGGAGCGCGTCAAGGAGTCTGTTTTTCTTTTGAAACCAGGCATGTGGAAGTGAGGGCAATTACACTGCTTTGTCAAAAAAAACATGGTGAAATTTCAACGCCCGAGTTTTGAGTAGGGGATGGACTTACCCTAAAAAAATTAATGTAGAAGTTCACACCCCTAGAAAAAATGGCTCCCCTGTCATTGTCAGGAGTGGCACATTTCGAGTAGGGCGAAACTCATGCCTGCAAAAACAGTCAAAAGTTTTAGAGCTACCCAGCCGTCCAGACTTGGGCAAACTCAATGCATCAAACATCTGGTTTCGAAAGTGAGGGCAGTTCGAACGCAGGTCTGGTAATATTTTCGAGGATCTTCGCCAATCCTTTCGCGACCATTCAATCCAGATCGTTAGCAGAGGTAGTACCCAAGACTGTCCGCACGGGGTTCGCGAACGACCTTTCGAATGGCCAGCGGCCAGCTCCAATCCGCCCTGTCGAAAGGGCGAACGGTACTTATTCGTCCGTCACCATCTCAAAAACACATTCGGTGATGACAATATAGATATTTAGTCTACACGTCGTACACAGGTGACTTGTCAGGGTACACATGATGTCCGCAAAATGCCCAGCCCGATTGTGTCCCAAAGTGCACCCTTCGGACCAATAATTTCGTCCACATTCATCCAACGCGACTCGTGAACAAGGTGTTCTAAAGTCGGGCACCCTGTGTACTGTACCCAACAACAAGACCATCAGTCGGGGTGATGAATGGTGCCTGCCTGATCTTGATGTCTGGCTACAGAACCCACATTCCTGCGTGCATCAGCTCCGCCTGTAGCCCTCGCGGATTTGGTTGTGCATGTGGAATCCGTTGACGCAATTTCGTGGGAAACTCTGGGTTCATTCCAGCATGCGCAGCGTGCTCATTTCTTCCATTCAAGCCGCTTCAAGTTCTAGGAGAAGTTGTAGGGCGGGGTGGTGGGTTTTTTTTCGAGGGATTTGTTTTAGGTTTGGTGGAGTTCTGCACAATCTCCAGGTCCTCGCTGGTTATGTTCACCGAAATGCCCAGGGTATACGGAGCAGAATGCATCGCCTTGGAAAGCAGTACAGTAACAGTCTGCGAGGCGTGCTCCATCTCGCTCGCAACTCGCGCAGGATCAACGAAATGACGCGTTTTTCTTAGCCTGTTCCCACCAACCGCTCTGACCCACCATGTTGAGATTTTCGGGAGTCCCAAGCTGACTCACCCGCTACACCCCGCAATTTCGCCCCCCTACTTGTCGACGCTGACACGGCGACCTGCTCGGACTTTTGAGACTGCCTCGCGGTGTGCCTGGCGCGTGTATCCGGAGGACCACAGTATGGACCATACCTACAGCCACGACAGCGGCACTTAGTTGCAAGGGGAGGCGGCTCCAGAAGGGGAGGACGGTTGGAGTTGGTTGGTTGGTTGGGGCTGCGCTCCTCTCTTCGTTTTCGTCCGCCCTGCACCCGCGCAAGAGTTCCCGCCGCGCTGCAGCGAAACGTGAGTTTGTTAATTTACCGTAGCGTGCTTCACAGCTGCAAAATCCCGTTGGCAAGACCTCAGATTCGTGCGTAGTGAAACAGGTGAGCAATGCTGCTCGATCTCACTCAGCCAGGCTCGCTGGTTGCGACACGATTTACGTGTGGCGGAGTGGGCTCCGTTCTGGGCACGGATTGACTCACCTCCAAAGCTTTCCCTTGATGAGTGCTGGCCGTTCGTTCACCGCAGACTGTCCACCCACTGCCCTACGCTGTGACTGGGACCGACTCCTATCTAGCGTCCCGAACGCCAAATCTGGCACTTACCTTCGTAGCTTGTTCGTATACAGCAAAGCGACTCCATAAAGGCTGACGTACCTACTCTAGCTGCTACCTACTATTCCGTTTTTCTGGTTCACGAGTTTTGAGACATCGCAACGTTCGAGACGCCCACTTTTCGCCTAGTAGGCGTTCCTTTTGAGGCGCCTCAAAAGTAGGCGTTCCTACTCCCCCCCCCCCCCCCCTTTCTGCCTGAGTTGCTGCTGGGCGTCGACCTCTCACTTCTCTCGCTGCTGTCTCACGTGGAGAAACGGCCTGCGCCCGGAGTGGCTAGAGTTGTGGTATGCTTTGGCACAAACATCATCCATAGCAGCCTCCAGCACGAACAGCCTTCAGGAAGCACCTTTCCTAGTACTAGTACCAGGCAGGATGAGGCAGAGACAGCGACGTTACAGCACGTCAGACCAGCAGCGGGAGTACAGCAGCCGCCAGCTCGAGCCGTGTGGGATTCCGCGGAAGGTTCTGTTGGGGCCGCTGCTGCTGGCTGCTCTGCTGCTGCACTCCGGCATTGTCCACGGCATCGTCTGGGATCAGAAGCAAGGTATTCCCCTGGCACGTGCCTGTGCCTCAAGGTATTCCCCTGGCACGAAGGTCATCGCATGGGTCACGCAAACTCCGCTCCCTCTGGGACACGCGGTGTGCGCCAGACAAGCTGGATGCGCCATTTCTTCCATGGCCGCAAGTTCAACACCATGCTGTGGCAGACGGTGGTCCAGGAAATGGGGGAGTGTCGGGACGTCTCAAAACGGGCGTGTCGAGACAGTCTCAAAGCTGGAAATGGGGACCGGACTGGGGACGTGTGAAAAGGGGTCAGACGGAAAGGTAAATTCCTTTTAGTATGGTTTGATGAATAGGTATGGCCTCTATGGCCGCTTGTTGTATCCCTCTCCGACAAATGAGTCATTTCCTCTCAACCCTTTGTGCATTTCTCCCCGGGGGCAGTCGTTTAGTTTTGGCACGCCTCAAAACAAAACCCGTTGTGCATTAGCATCCCGCACTTCGTCTCCCTTCCTTTTCCCTCTCTCCCCCATCCTCCCACCTTCCCGTCGTGAACTGCTTGGCAGCGGCTGTGCTATGGGACCTGCAGGGCGCATTGACTTCTGTGACTGGAGAGAAGTCTAGCTACACGGGGTGGAATGCAGGCGACACCTGCACGACTGCTCAAAAGCTGCGTTGTGATGGCCAGGGCATGGTTATCAGCATGTAAGGCGTGGTTACCAGCATGTAAGGCGTGGGTACCAGCATGTAAGGCGTGGTTACCAGCACGTAAGGCGTGGGTACCAGCATGTAAGGCATGGTTACCAGCATGTAAGGCATGGTTACCAGCATGTAAGGCATGGTTACCAGCATGTAAGGCATGGTTGGCACGTAGGGCGTGTTTAGTGGCAAGTAAGGCATCGTTTGCAGCATGTAGGCACGGTTACCCGCCTGATCTCAAGAAGACCTAGTCTAGATCCCTCTCGCAGTTATTGTCTCTCCCTCAATGTTCCTCTCCCTTGTTCCATTCCCTCCTCCCTTCCTGTCTCCCGCCCGCCAATTCGGCTTCGCTGCTTGTCTATCTCTTCCCTGTCCCAGAGACCTGTCTGGTGAAAGCAAGCTCGGCTCCCTCCCTTCCAGCATTGGGGCCCTCGTGCGACTCACCTCCTTGTAACCTCCTCTTGGCCCCATCAGTCACCATCGCATAGCCGTGTCACCATCGCATAGCCGTGTCACCATCGCATAGCCGTGTCACCATCACATAGCCGTGTCACCATCGCATAGCCGTGTCACCATCGCATAGCCGTGTCACCATCGCATAGCCGTGTCACCATCGCATAGCCGTGTCACCATCGCATAGCCGTGCCACCATCGCATAGCCGTGTCACCATCGCATAGCCGTGCCACCATCGCATAGCCGTGCCACCATCGCATAGCCGTGCCACCATCGCATAGCCGTGCCACCATCGCATAGCCGTGCCACCATCGCATAGCCGTGCCACCATCGCATAGCCGTGCACCATCGCATAGCCGTGCCACCATCGCATAGCCGTGCCACCATCGCATAGCCGTGCCACCATCGCATAGCCGTGCCACCATCGCATAGCCGTGCCACCATCGCATAGCCGTGCCACCATCGCATAGCCGTGCCACCATCGCATAGCCGTGCCACCATCGCATAGCCGTGCCACCATCGCATAGCCGTGCCACCATCGCATAGCCGTGCACCATCGCATAGCCGTGCCACCATCGCATAGCCGTGTCACCATCGCATAGCCGTGCCACCATCGCATAGCCGTGCCACCATCGCATAGCCGTGCCACCATCGCATAGCCGTGCCACCATCGCATAGCCGTGCCACCATCGCATAGCCGTGCCACCATCGCATAGCCGTGCACCATCGCATAGCCGTGCCACCATCGCATAGCCGTGTCACCATCGCATAGCCGTGTCACCATCGCATAGCCGTGTCACCATCGCATAGCCGTGTCACCATCGCATAGCCGTGCCACCATCGCATAGCCGTGCCACCATCGCATAGCCGTGCCACCATCGCATAGCCGTGCCACCATCGCATAGCCGTGCCACCATCGCATAGCCGTGCCACCATCGCATAGCCGTGCCACCATCGCATAGCCGTGCCACCATCGCATAGCCGTGCCACCATCGCATAGCCGTGCACCATCGCATAGCCGTGCCACCATCGCATAGCCGTGCCACCATCGCATAGCCGTGCCACCATCGCATAGCCGTGCCACCATCGCATAGCCGTGCCACCATCGCATAGCCGTGCCACCATCGCATAGCCGTGCCACCATCGCATAGCCGTGCACCATCGCATAGCCGTGCCACCATCGCATAGCCGTGCCACCATCGCATAGCCGTGCCACCATCGCATAGCCGTGCCACCATCGCATAGCCGTGCCACCATCGCATAGCCGTGTCACCATCGCATAGCCGTGCCACCATCGCATAGCCGTGTCACCATCGCATAGCCGTGCCACCATCGCATAGCCGTGCCACCATCGCATAGCCGTGCCACCATCGCATAGCCGTGCCACCATCGCATAGCCGTGCACCATCGCATAGCCGTGCCACCATCGCATAGCCGTGTCACCATCGCATAGCCGTGCCACCATCGCATAGCCGTGCCACCATCGCATAGCCGTGTCACCATCGCATAGCCGTGCCACCATCGCATAGCCGTGTCACCATCGCATAGCCGTGTCACCATCGCATAGCTGTGTCACCATCGCATAGCCGTGCCACCATCGCATAGCCGTGTCACCATCGCATAGCCTTTTTAGGGCTAAAGCCGCCGTGTACATTTGGGTCTTTATTGCCCACATGCTGACTGGGCAAGGCTCGCGAAGGGGGTTGGGGTTCGCCAATACCGGGTTTAGGGTTTCGGGGTTTTCAACTGTTCTAAAATCTGAAACTCACGAACTCAAGTTTATACCTGGCTGTAACAATAATCGCGCCATACCGCAGAACCAACCCTCCTGGCGGGATTGCGTGACACTCGTGCAGACTGAGTACTTGCCTGCCACCCACCTCTCTCGTCCTTTTCTCACTCCCCGCGCTTCCCCTGTTCCTCTCTTCTCGCTCCCCCCAATGCGGCAGAGTGCTCCAGGGTAACATTATTGGCAAGGAGCTTCCAGGATCTCTCAGCAGCCTTGTCAACCTCGTGCACCTGTGAGTGCAGCAAAGGGACGCACCTGGGCTGCGTGCGTGCACCTGGGCTGCGTGCGTGCACCTGGGCAGCGTGCGTGCACCTGGGCTGCGTGCTTTGTACCTGGGCTGCGTGCTTGTACCTGGGCTGCGTGCTTGTACCTCGGCTGCGTGCTTGTACCTGGGCTGCGTGCGTGCACCTTGGCTTCCGGCTCTGACCCGAAGAGGCTTCATCAATCATCTCATGCATGCGCATGCCCTCCCCGTGTCTCCCTTCGACCACCCCACTCCCGGCTCTGCCTTGCAACACCACACCCCTTTCCGGCCCGCCCTCACACCCCGCGGTAGTGACCTGTCTGCCAACCGCTTTGTGGGGACCATTCCCTCTTTTGGCAAATTGACAGCACTCACGTACCTGTAAGCCTGTCTTCCTCCACCAGAGTGACTTGGCTTCCTTGAAGCATGGATTTATGAATTCAAACTGTGTTCTTGGTGGTTCGCGTGAGCATGCTTAGCCACTGATCTCCAGTATGATAACAATTACGCGTGCCATTTTCCCATTGTGACAAGAACCGTGTCGATTCCCATGTGCGTTACGGGTGCCACAGTCACTGCCACACCCGCAATTCACTTGTACTATGAGATGGCTTTTGATTCGACACAAAAGTCACCCGCAATTCACTTGTACTGTGTGCCTACTTCCACTCATCCTATTTTTGAGGCGCCTAAAAAATGTACTATGTGCCTACTTCCACTCATCCAACTTCGTACCACGTTGCTTTGCCTTGCAGTCCTCACTGCCTCATCCTCCTCTCCCGTTGTGGCCATGCATGGTTCGTCTCCCCTCATCTCCTTCCAGCAACTTGTCCAGCAACTGGCTTGCTGGGCCCATCCCTGACTGCTTTGGCGGCCTCTCCCGCCTTCGAACCATGTGAGCCCATAGCAGCCTTGTAACCGTAGAACTAGGATGGGACTATTTTTGAGGCGCCTCAAAAATAGACTCACCATAGGATGGGTGGAATCCACTCTCTTTGGACTTGCAATGTGCTTGTTGTATTCGATTCGGCATTCGTTCCACCGTGCGTGATGTCCGCGCAAGAAGATTCCTCTTGATCCCATAATAATCCATCCGATCCAATCCGATCGAATCCAATCCAATCCAATCCAATCCAACTCCTTTGGACATTTGCAGCGACCTGTCGACCAACCATCTCTCATCCCTTCTACCCGCGTCAATCGACAGCTTGAGCGCCCTTACGAAATTGTGAGTGAAAGCCGCTTGAGCCGACTCAAAAGACAGCTTAAGCGCCCTTACGGCGCTGCGAGTGAAAGCCGTGCTATAGTGACAGGGGGGCACACGTTCACTTGAGCCGCAAGATCCGTTCACTTGAGCCGCAAAAATTGTTCACTTGAGCCGCAAGACCCATTCACTTGGGTCGCAAGACTCGTTCACTTCATCTTGATTCCTCATGTCTTCCTGTCCTCCTCACCGTGCGTGCACCTTTGCCACTCTGGCTCCGTCCCCTTCAACCCCCTCCCCCCCCCCCCCAAGCCCACATCTTCCCTCGTCCCATCCTCCCCCCCCCTCACCTTCCTACATGCCTTTCTTCGCATGGAAGTATTCCACTTACCCACCAGCCTTTTCCGACGAATTGTGCAGTTTGGACGAGTGTCGTCTGGACGAGTGTCTGGACGAGTGTCGCCTGGACGAGTGCCTGGACGAGTGTCTGGACGAGTGCCTGGACGAGTGTCTGGACGAGTGTCTGGACGAGTGCCTGGACGAGTGCCTGGACGAGTGTCTGGACGAGTGCCTGGACGAGTGCCTGGACGAGTGCCTGGACGAGTGTCTGGACGAGTGCCTGGACGAGTGTCTGGACGAGTGCCTGGACGAGTGCCTGGACGAGTGCCTGGACGAGTGCCTGGACGAGTGTCTGGACGAGTGCCTGGACGAGTGTCTGGACGAGTGCCTGGACGAGTGCCTGGACGAGTGTCTGGACGAGTGCCTGGACGAGTGCCTGGACGAGTGCCTGGACGAGTGTCTGGACGAGTGCCTGGACGAGTGCCTGGACGAGTGCCTGGACGAGTGCCTGGACGAGTGTCTGGACGAGTGCCTGGACGAGTGCCTGGACGAGTGTCTGGACGAGTGCCTGGACGAGTGTCTGGACGAGTGCCTGGATTGAACTTCCTCAGCCGCTACAGCTACCCCCGCTACTAGCAACCAAGTGCAATGACCTGTCCATCAATGCGTGGCCTTCAGTGGCGCCTCTCCTCGTTGTCCCCCCCGTTTGTTTCTTGTGCAGTAGCATGAGGAGTAACTACTTGTTCGGCGAGGTTTTCCCCTCTAAGTTATGCAGTCTGAAGGAGAGCCAAGTAATCATTGTTGCCAACTGCTTCACCAGCCCGTGCGGCTTCGACCAGCAGCAGAAAAGTGCCGACGAATGCGCCATCGCCTGCGGCCTCGCGCCCCCCTCCAATCTACCCTGTGGCGGCCACGGGTACTGCTACTGGGAAGGTGACGCTAGCCTTGTGGCGACCACGTGCGTGTGTGACGCAGGGAGTACCTACGTGGACGCCCGTGGGACTTGTGTTACCAGCACCGGCACTCCGTGGCACGCCTCCCAGTGTAAGGATAGCAGGTGGCATGAGACCTTGGGATTGGGGGAACCCGTTGAAGATGTTTAGGGGATAGTAGTGAAGGCGCCCTGCTTTGGAGCATCTTCGTTTTGGATGTTTCTTTGCCAAAGTCTCACGCCAAGGTCAGCACTCTCACAAATAATATCTGCTTTCCCCGGACCGTGCTTTCCTGCCCAACATGCGTGGCTGGCAGTGCCGTTTCTCAAGGACCTGAGGACCTCTTGGAATTTTGATGGGGGCAATGCCCCACGCGGCTGGCAGGGTGGGGATGACTGCAAGACCGCTGAAGTGCTCATGTGCGACAATGATGGCATGATCACAGATTTGTGAGTGCCACACCACTTTGAGTCGTCGCTCCGCTGTTGCAAGTCGTTTACTTTCAATGCTTGCTTCTTTCAGACCGCATGGGCAACGCCATTCCCTCCTCACCCTTCCTGATCTGTCTTCGTCGCTACATTCTTAAGGCGCCTCAAAAATCGTCTCTACATTCTTACCTCCAGGCGTCTTTTGGAGGATCACGTTTATGGCGAAATACCCCAATCGATTGGGGGCCTGGCAAAGCTGTCTTCCATGTATGTGTCTCCTCCCACGCCAAACTCATGCCATGTGTGTCTCTCATTCTATGACAAATGCATGCCATGTATGCGTACTGCTGTATATGAAACCAGTGCATGCCGTGGCGTCTGTTGCTCCATGGAAAACGAATTCATGCCATGCCACCCATGTGTGCCCCCACTTTGACCAGTCCGTTTCATTCCAATTCCACTCCTTCCGTGTCAAGCACTTGAGGGTGTCTCCCCCCCCCACTTCTGCCAAGTACCTGCTCTCTCCCTCTCCTCCCACTCCTTTCATGCAAGCTCCTGACCGGTCTCCCTCCCACCCCCCACCCATTTCCCCATGGGCTGCAAAATCGTGTCATTGCCCACCAGAATCATTAAGGGAAATAATAGCCTGCATGGTCGGATTCCAGAGTCCATCAGTCAGCTAGCCAACCTTGCTGAGCTGTGAGTAAACAGCCCCCCCCCCCTCCACCCCCCCCTCACCCCTCCCCCCCGCTGCACTTCTGTTGTTTGCTACAGTGAAGTACAGCTAGGTTGAGAGTGATTTGGTTGGACGTCGACTTATCTCGTGCCTGTACCTGCAAGCCACCCTCCTTCCACTCTGCATTTGATGCGCCTCAACTCAACCGCGTGGCTTGCGCACATGCCTCTCTGCCTTCCTCCACCCCGGCTGTGCAGGGAGTTGAGAGACGTTTACCTCACTGGCAGCATCCCTCCAGAGCTCTTCACTCTGACACGCCTCAACCGCATGTGCGTTCCCTTGCCCCACATTACTCTTCTCTCTTGCTCCAGCGTGTCTCTGCATTTCTCTCAAAGCTGTGCCCATAATCCCCCCCCGATAATCCCCTGGCTTCTGATCTGTTCGAACAACAAATGCCCCTCACTCGATTGGGGACCTGGCAAGCAAACTGTCTACCTCTCCTCTATGCCTCTTCTCCATGCTAAATGCATGCCATGTATGCCTGCTGCACCACCAAATGCATGCCATGTATGTCTGCTGCACCACCAAATGCATGCCATGTATGTCTGCTGCACCACCAAATGCATGCCATGTATGTCTGCTGCACCACCAAATGCATGCCATGTATGTCTGCTGCACCACCAAATGCATGCCATGCATGTCTGCTGAACCACCAAATGCATGCCATGTATGTCTGCTGCACCACCCAATGCATGCCATGTATGTCTGCTGCACCACCAAATGCATGCCATGTATGTCTGCTGCACCACCAAATGCATGCCATGTATGTCTGCTGCACCACCAAATGCTTGCCATGTATGTCTGCTGCACCACCCAATGCATGCCATGCATGTCTGCTGCACCACCAAATGCATGCCATGTCTGTCTGCTGCACCACCCAATGCATGCCATGTATGTCTGCTGCACCACCAAATGCATGCCATGTATGTCTGCTGCACCACCAAATGCATGCCATGTATGTCTGCTGCACCACCAAATGCATGCCATGTATGTCTGCTGCACCACCAAATGCATGACATGCATGTCTGCTGCACCACCAAATGCCTGCCATGTATGTCTGCTGCACCCCCCAATGCATGCCATGTATGTCTGCTGCACCACCCAATGCATGCCATGTATGTCTGCTGCACCACCAAATGCATGCCATGTACGTCTGCTGCACCACCCAATGCATGCCATATATGCCTGCTGCACCACCAAATGCATGCCATGTATGTCTGCTGCACCACCAAATGCATGCCATGTATGTCTGCTGCACCACCAAATGCATGCCATGTATGTCTGCTGCACCACCAAATGCAGGCCATGTATGTCTGCTGCACCACCACATGCATGCCATGTATGTCTGCTGCACCACCACATGCATGCCATGTATGTCTGCTGCACCACCCAATGCATGCCATGCATGTCTGCTGCACCACCAAATGCATGCCATGTATGTCTGCTGCACCACCCAATGCATGCCATGTATGTCTGCTGCACCACCCAATGCATGCCATGTATGTCTGCTGCACCGCCAGATGCATGCCATGTATGTCTGCTGCACCACCAAATGCATGACATGCATGTCTGCTGCACCACCAAATGCATGCCATGTATGTCTGCTGCACCACCAAATGCATGCCATGTATGTCTGCTGCACCACCTAATGCATGCCATGTATGCCTGCTGCACCACCCAATGCATGCCATGTATGTCTGCTGCACCACCAAATGCATGCCATGTATGTCTGCTGCACCACCAAATGCATGCCATGTATGTCTGCTGCACCACCAAATGCATGCCATGTATGTCTGCTGCACCACCCAATTCATGCCATGTATGTCTGCTGCACCACCCAATGCATGCCATGCATGTCTGCTGAACCACCAAATGCATGCCATGTATGTCTGCTGCACCACCCAATGCATGCCATGTATGTCTGCTGCACCACCAAATGCATGCCATGTATGTCTGCTGCACCACCCAATGCATGCCATGTATGTCTGCTGCACCACCAAATGCTTGCCATGTATGTCTGCTGCACCACCCAATGCATGCCATGCATGTCTGCGCCCCCAATGCATCCACCCACCAATGCATGCCATGTATGTCTGCTGCACCACCAAATGCATGCCATGTATGTCTGCTGCACCACCAAATGCATGCCATGTATGTCTGCTGCACCACCAATGCATGCCATGTATGTCTGCTGCACCACCAAATGCATGCCATGTATGTCTGCTGCACCACCAAATGCATGCCATGTATGTCTGCTGCACCCCCAATGCATGCCATGTATGTCTGCTGCACCACCAAATGCATGCCATGTATGTCTGCTGCACCACCAATGCATGCCATGTAGTCTGCTGCACCCCCAATGCATGCCATTATGCGCTGCACCACCAAATGCATGCCATGTATGTCTGCTGCACCACCAATGCATGCCATGTATGTCTGCTGCACCACCAAATGCATGCCATGTATGTCTGCTGCACCACCAAATGCAGCCATGTATGTCTGCTGCACCACCACATGCATGCCATGTATGTCTGCTGCACCACCACATGCATGCCATGTATGTCTGCTGCACCACCCAATGCATGCCATGATGTCTGCTGCACCACATGCATGCCATATGTCTGCTGCACCACCCAAATGCATGCCATGTATGTCTGCTGCACCACCCAATGCATGCCATGTATGTCTGCTGCACCACCAATGCATGCCATGTATGTCTGCTGCACCACCAAATGCATGACATGCATGTCTGCTGCACCACCAAATGCATGCCATGTATGTCTGCTGCACCACCAAATGCAGCCATGTATGTCTGCTGCACCACCAATGCATGCCATGTATGTCTGCTGCACCACCAAATGCATGACATGCATGTCTGCTGCACCACCAAATGCATGCCATGTATGTCTGCTGCACCACCAAATGCATGCCATGCATGTCTGCTGCACCACCAAATGCATGCCATGTATGTCTGCTGCACCCACCAAATGCATGCCATGTATGTCTGCTGCACCACCAATGCATGCCATGTATGTCTGCTGCACCACCCAATGCATGCCATGTATGTCTGCTGCACCACCTGCCATATCCTGCCACATGCCATGTATGTCTGCTGCACCACCAAATGCATGCCATGTATGTCTGCTGCACCACCAAATGCATGCCATGTATGTCTGCTGCACCACCCAATGCATGCCATGTATGTCTGCTGCACCACCAAATGCATGCCATGTATGTCTGCTGCACCACCAAATGCATGCCATGTATGTCTGCTGCACCACCAAATGCATGCCATGTATGTCTGCTGCACCACCAAATGCATGCCATGTATGTCTGCTGCACCACCAAATGCATGCCATGTATGTCTGCTGCACCACCAAATGCATGCCATGTATGTCTGCTGCACCACCAAATGCATGCCATGTATGTCTGCTGCACCACCAAATGCATGCCATGTATGTCTGCTGCACCACCAAATGCATGCCATGTATGTCTGCTGCACCACCAAATGCATGCATGTATGTCTGCTGCAACCACCAAATGCATGACATGTATGTCTGCTGCACCACCAAATGCATGCCATGTATGTCTGCTGCAGCACCAAATGCATGCCATGTATGTCTGCTGCACCACCAAATGCATGACATATGTCTGCTGCACCACCAAATGCATGCCATGTATGTCTGCTGCACCACCAATGCATGCCATGTATGTCTGCTGCACCACCCAATGCATGCCATGTATGTCTGCTGCACCACCAAATGCATGCCATGTATGTCTGCTGCACCACCAAATGCATGCCATGTATGTCTGCTGCACCACCAATGCATGCCATGTATGTCTGCTGCACCACCCAATGCATGCCATGTATGTCTGCTGCACCACCCAATGCATGCCATGTATGTCTGCTGCACACCAAATGCATGCCATGTATGTCTGCTGCACCACCAAATGCATGCCATGTATGTCTGCTGCACCACCAAATGCATGCCATGTATGTCTGCTGCACCACCAATGCATGACATGTATGTCTGCTGCACCACCAAATGCATGCCATGTATGTCTGCTGCACCACCCAATGCATGCCATGTATGTCTGCTGCACCACCAATGCATGCCATGTATGTCTGCTGACCACCAAATGCATGCCATGTATGTCTGCTGCACCACCAAATGCATGCCATGTATGTCTGCTGCACCACCAAATGCATGCCATGTATGTCTGCTGCACCACCTAATGCATGCCATGTATGTCTGCTGCACCACCAAATGCATGCCATGTATGTCTGCTGCACCACCAAATGCATGACATGTATGTCTGCTGCACCACCAAATGCATGCCATGTATGTCTGCTGCACCACCAAATGCATGCCATGTATGTCTGCTGCACCACCAAATGCATGACATGCATGTCTGCGGCACCACCAAATGCATCCCATGTATGTCTGCTGCACCACCCAATGCATGCCATGTATGTCTGCTGCACCACCCAATGCATGCCATGTATGTCTGCTGCACCACCCAATGCATGTCATGTATGTCTGCTGCACCACCCAATGCATGCCATGTATGTCTGCTGCACCACCAAATGCATGCCATGTATGTCTGCTGCACCACCCAATGCATGCCATGTATGTCTGCTGCACCACCAAATGCATGCCATGTATGTCTGCTGCACCACCAAATGCATGACATGCATGTCTGCTGCACCACCAAATGCATGCCATGTATGTCTGCTGCACCACCCAATGCATGCCATGTATGTCTGCTGCACCACCCAATGCATGCCATGTATGTCTGCTGTACCACCAAATGCATGCCATGTATGTCTGCTGCACCACCAAATGCATGCCATGTATGTCTGCTGCACCACCAAATGCATGCCATGTATGTCTGCTGCACCACCAATGCATGCCATGTATGTCTGCTGCACCACCAAATGCATGACATGTATGTCTGCTGCACCACCAAATGCATGCCATGTATGTCTGCTGCACCACCAATGCATGCCATGTATGTCTGCTGCACCACCAAATGCATGCCATGTATGTCTGCTGCACCACCAAATGCATGCCATGCTATGTCTGCTGGCACCACCCAATGCATGCCATGTATGTCTGCTGCACCACCCAATGCATGCCATGTATGTCTGCTGCACCACCAATGCATGCCATGTATGTCTGCTGCACCACCAAATGCATGCCATGTATGTCTGCTGCACCACCAAATGCATGCCATGTATGTCTGCTGCACCACCCAATTGCATGTCCATGTATTGTCTGCTGCACCACCCAATGCATGCCATGTATGTCTGCTGCACCACCAAATGCATGCCATGTATGTCTGCTGCACCACCAATGCATGCCATGTATGTCTGCTGCACCACCAAATGCATGCCATGTATGTCTGCTGCACCACCAAATGCATGACATGCATGTCTGCTGCACCACCAAATGCATGCCATGTATGTCTGCTGCACCACCCAATGCATGCCATGTATGTCTGCTGCACCACCAATGCATGCCATGTATGTCTGCTGTCACCACCAAATGCATGCCATGTATGTCTGCTGCACCACCAAATGCATGCCATGTATGTCTGCTGCACCACCAAATGGCATGCCATGTATGTCTGCTGCACCACCTAATGCATGCCATGTATGTCTGCTGCACCACCAAATGCATGCCATGTATGTCTGCTGCACCACCAAATGCATGACATGTATGTCTGCTGCACCACCAAATGGCATGCCATGTATGTCTGCTGCACCACCAAATGCATGCCATGTATGGTCTGCTGCACCACCAAATGCATGACATGCATGTCTGCGGCACCACCAAATGCATGCCATGTATGTCTGCTGCACCACCCAATGCATGCCATGTATGTCTGCTGCACCACCCAATGCATGCCATGTATGTCTGCTGCACCACCAAATGCATGCCATGTATGTCTGCTGCACCACCAAATGCATGCCATGTATGTCTGCTGCACCACCCAATGCATGCCATGTATGTCTGCTGCACCACCCAATGCATGTCATGTATGTCTGCTGCACCACCCAATGCATGCCATGTATGTCTGCTGCACCACCAAATGCATGCCATGTATGTCTGCTGCACCACCCAATGCATGCCATGTATGTCTGCTGCACCACCAAATGCATGCCATGTATGTCTGCTGCACCACCAAATGCATGACATGCATGGTCTGCTGCACCACCAATGCATGCCATGTATGTCTGCTGCACCACCAAATGCATGCCATGTATGTCTGCTGCACCACCCAATGCATGCCATGTATGTCTGCTGCACCACCAAATGCATGCCATGTATGTCTGCTGCACCACCCAATGCATGCCATGTATGTCTGCTGCACCACCAAATGCATGCCATGTATGTCTGCTGCACCACCTAATGCATGCCATGTATGTCTGCTGCACCACCAAATGCATGCCATGTATGTCTGCTGCACCACCAAATGCATGACATGTATGTCTGCTGCACCACCAAATGCATGCCATGTATGTCTGCTGCACCACCAAATGCATGCCATGTATGTCTGCTGCACCACCAAATGCATGACATGTATGTCTGCGCACCACCAAATGCATCCATGTATGTCTGCTGCACCACCCAATGCATGCCATGTATGTCTGCTGCACCACCCAATGCATGCCATGTATGTCTGCTGCACCACCCAATGCATGCATGTATGTCTGCTGCACCACCCAATGCATGCCATGTATGTCTGCTGCACCACCAAATGCATGCCATGTATGTCTGCTGCACCACCCAATGCATGCCATGTATGTCTGCTGCACCACCAAATGCATGCCATGTATGTCTGCTGCACCACCAAATGCATGACATGCATGTCTGCTGCACCACCAAATGCATGCCATGTATGTCTGCTGCACCACCCAATGCATGCCATGTATGTCTGCTGCACCACCCAATGCATGCCATGTATGTCTGCTGTACCACCAAATGCATGCCATGTATGTCTGCTGCACCACCAAATGCATGCCATGTATGTCTGCTGCACCACCAAATGCATGCCATGTATGTCTGCTGCACCACCTAATGCATGCCATGTATGTCTGCTGCACCACCAAATGCATGCCATGTATGTCTGCTGCACCACCAAATGCATGACATGTATGTCTGCTGCACCACCAAATGCATGCCATGTATGTCTGCTGCACCACCAAATGCATGCCATGTATGTCTGCTGCACCACCAAATGCATGACATGCATGTCTGCGGCACCACCAAATGCATCCCATGTATGTCTGCTGCACCACCCAATGCATGCCATGTATGTCTGCTGCACCACCCAATGCATGCCATGTATGTCTGCTGCACCACCCAATGCATGCCATGTATGTCTGCTGCACCACCAAATGCATGCCATGTATGTCTGCTGCACCACCCAATGCATGCCATGTATGTCTGCTGCACCACCAAATGCATGCCATGTATGTCTGCTGCACCACCAAATGCATGCCATGTATGTCTGCTGCACCACCCAATGCATGCCATGTATGTCTGCTGCACCACCCAATGCATGCCATGTATGTCTGCTGCACCACCAAATGCATGCCATGTATGTCTGCTGCACCACGCAATGCATGCCATGTATGTCTGCTGCACCACCCAATGCATGCCATGTATGTCTGCTGCACCACCCAATGCATGCCATGTATGTCTGCTGCACCACCAAATGCATGACATGCATGTCTGCTGCACCACCAAATGCATGCCATGTATGTCTGCTGCACCACCAAATGCATGCCATGTATGTCTGCTGCACCACCTAATGCATGCCATGTATGCCTGCTGCACCACCCAATGCATGACATGCATGTCTGCTGCACCACCAAATGCATGCCATGTATGTCTGCTGCACCACCAAATGCATGCCATGTATGTCTGCTGCACCACCAAATGCATGCCATGTATGTCTGCTGCACCACCAAATGCATGACATGTATGTCTGCTGCACCACCCAATGCATGCCATGTATGTCTGCTGCACCACCAAATGCATACCATGTATGTCTGCTGCACCACCCAATGCATGCCATGTATGTCTGCTGCACCACCAAATGCATGCCATGTATGTCTGCTGCACCACCAAATGCATGACATGCATGTCTGCTGCACCACCAAATGCATGCCATGTATGTCTGCTGCACCACCCAATGCATGCCATGTATGTCTGCTGCACCACCAAATGCATGCCATGTATGTCTGCTGCACCACCCAATGCATGCCATGTATGTCTGCTGCACCACCCAATGCATGCCATGTATGTCTGCTGCACCACCCAATGCATGCCATGTATGTCTGCTGCACCACCAAATGCATGACATGCATGTCTGCTGCACCACCAAATGCATGCCATGTATGTCTGCTGCACCACCAAATGCATGCCATGTATGTCTGCTGCACCACCTAATGCATGCCATGTATGCCTGCTGCACCACCCAATGCATGACATGCATGTCTGCTGCACCACCAAATGCATGCCATGTATGTCTGCTGCACCACCAAATGCATGCCATGTATGTCTGCTGCACCACCAAATGCATGCCATGTATGTCTGCTGCACCACCCAATGCATGCCATGTATGTCTGCTGCACCACCAAATGCATGCCATGTATGTCTGCTGCACCACCAAATGCATGCCATGTATGTCTGCTGCACCACCAAATGCATGCCATGTATGTCTGCTGCACCACCAAATGCATGCCATGTATGTCTGCTGCACCACCCAATGCATGCCATGTATGTCTGCTGCACCACCCAATGCATGCCATGTATGTCTGCTGCACCGCCAGATGCATGCCATGTATGTCTGCTGCACCACCAAATGCATGACATGCATGTCTGCTGCACCACCAAATGCATGCCATGTATGTCTGCTGCACCACCAAATGCATGCCATGTATGTCTGCTGCACCACCCATTGCATGCCATGTATGTCTGCTGCACCACCCAATGCATGCCATGTATGTCTGCTGCACCACCCAATGCATGCCATGTATGTCTGCTGCACCACCCAATGCATGCCATGTATGTCTGCTGCACCACCAAATGCATGCCATGTATGTCTGCTGCACCACCATATGCATGCCATGTATGTCTGCTGCACCGCCAAATGCATGCCATGTATGTCTGCTGCACCACCAAATGCATGACATGCATGTCTGCTGCACCACCAAATGCATGCCATGTATGTCTGCTGCACCACCAAATGCATGCCATGTATGTCTGCTGCACCACCTAATGCATGCGATGTATGCCTGCTGCACCACCAAATGCATGCCATGTATGTCTGCTGCACCACCCAATGCATGCCATGCATGTCTGCTGCACCACCAAATGCATGCCATGTATGTCTGCTGCACCACCAAATGCATGCCATGTATGTCTGCTGCACCACCAAATGCATGCCATGTATGTCTGCTGCACCACCCAATGCATGCCATGCCATCCTCCCACACCGTCCATGCCAAGCCTTCCCCCTCTCTCTCCCGCCCCCCACCTTCCACCTGGTTGCAAATACACGTCTTGGCCTACCAGAATCATAAGAAGCTACCAACGCCTGTCCTGTTCCATTCCACAGTCCACCAGCCAGCTAACCAACCTTGTTGAGCTGTGAGTAAACCCACACATCTCTCGCCCTCCCCAAACCCCCTCCACCCCTCCACTCCCGTTGACTGGTTCGGTCCAACTACAGATTGGGAGTGTATTGGTTTGACTCTGGCTTATTTCGTGCCTGTTCTATAAGAACCGCCCGCTGTGATTTTGAGGCGTCTCAACAACAGGACTTGCACGCATGCCTGTTTCTTCCTCCGGCCCCGCCCCCCCCGCTATGCAGAGAGTTGGCATACGTTTCGCTCACTGCTGTGATACCTTCGGAGCTCTTCACTCTTACACCCCTCACCCACTTGTGCGTTCCTTGACCCACATCGCACGCCTCTGCCTCTCTCTTGATCCACCGCCTCTGCCTCTCTCTTGATCCACCGCCTCTGCCTCTCTCTTGATCCACCGCCTTTGCCTCTCTCTTGATCCACCGCCTCTGCCTCTTTCTTGATCCACCGCCTCTGCCTCTCTCTTGATCCACCGCCTCTGCCTCTCTCTTGATCCACCCCCTCTGCCTCTCTCTTGATCCACCGCCTCTGCCTCTCTCTTGATCCACCGCCTCTGCCTCTCTCGTGATCCACCGCCTCTGCCTCTCTCTTGATCCACCGTCTCTGCCTCTCTCTTGATCCACCGCCTCTGCCTCTTTCTTGATCCACCGCCTCTGCCTCTCTCTTGATCCACCGCCTCTGCCTCTCTCTTGATCCACCGCCTCTGCCTCTCTCTTGATCCACCGCCTCTGCCTCTCTCTTGATCCACCACGTCTGCCTCTCTCTTGATCCACCGCCTCTGCCTCTCTCTTGATCCACCGCCTCTGCCTCTCTCTTGATCCACCGCCTCTGCCTCTCTTTTGATCCACCGCCTCTGCCTCTCTCTTGATCCACCGCCTCTGCCTCTCTCTTGATCCACCGCCTCTGCCTCTCTCTTGATCCACCGACTCTGCCTCTCTCTTGATCCACCGCCTCTGCCTCTCTCTTGATCCACCGCCTCTGCCTCTCTCTTGATCCACCGCCTCTGCCTCTCTCTTGATCCACCGCCTCTGCCTCTCTCTTGATCCACCACCTCTGCCTCTCTCTTGATCCACCGCCTCTGCCTCTCTCTTGATCCACCGCCTCTGCCTCTCTCTTGATCCACCGCCTCTGCCTCTCTCTTGGTTTATCGCCTCTGCCTCTCCCTTGTTTCATCGATTTACTCTAGCAGTTGCTTGCCAAGTCTATGGATTCTGCTCAGTTCGCACGACGTATGGCTTCCCAGTAGTAGATGGGGGGCCTGGCAAGCACTCATCTATGCCCCTCTTCCATGACTTTTACATGTCTTGAAGTTCCCCCATCCCATGCCAACTGCATGCCGTGCATGTCTTCTCTGCTGTCCCATGCCACATGCATGCCATGGGTGCCCCCCCCCTCACAACTTCTATGCCCCCTGTCCCCCCCACCCCCCACTCCCTTCCCTGGACTTTGCGCCATCGCAAAATCATGTCTTGTCTTGGCCCTCCTCTGCCAGAACGATAAGAGGCCGCTTTGAGGACTTTGGTTCTCTCCCAGAGGCCATCAGTCAGCTCACCAACCTCGCTGAGATGTAAGTAAACTGACACATCTGCGAGAGATGGTCTCTCGCTCTCCGCAAACACCCTTCACCCCTCCACGCCTGTTTTCCTTTGCTTTAGTTAAGTACCGGTTGAGACTGTATTGGTTTCGCTTTGACTTATTTCATACCTGTACCACAAGGCTCCCTCCTTCAACCTGCTTCTGAGGCGCCTCAACCGCACAACTTGCACCATGCCTCTTCCTTCCGCATACCCTAAACCGCCTGGAATGCAGAGACTTGTCAACAGCTGTTTTCAATGGTGGCATACCTTCAGGGCTCTTTACTCTTCCACTCCTCACCAGCATGTGTGTTCCCTCTCCCCGTGTTGCTCTTCTGGTGGTTCCCTTGCACTCTTGCTCCAGCACGTCTTTGTGTCTCTTGAGGGTGTGTTCATATTCAAACCACTACCGTAATCTATTTCTTGCCGAACATGTGGCTTGCGCCTCTGTTCAATCGACGCCTTCTTTAGGCAATAGCTTTGGTTCCCTTCTCCCAAGGATATGTGAACAACAAGGGCAATGCTCTCTCGATCTATGCAAGCATGGTTGCTCCTGGCAGTGTTTTTTACGACGCTCGCCTTTCAGAGTCGCTACCAGCAACCTTATCCGAGATGACGCGCCTCAAGCATCTGTAAGCCCTTCCACTATGATGACCTACCCTCCGCCCACCTGAATCATCTGCACATTCCTCTTTCAATAGAATGGGGGGTGGAGTGGGGAGTGCCCCTTTTCGTGCCACTCCAACTGCCGTGGACAACCTGTGTGAGCGTATGGCACTCTCTGTGATGAGTTGATGAGTGACAATACAAGTTGTGATGGTAACGTGTCTCGCACAATACCGTGTGTGACGTGACACGCCTTCGGCTGACTGTTAATGAGTGACAGCAAACCTTTCCCAGCAGCCTTGCAGCAGCCTATGGAGCCGGTTTTTGTATGTATCGTGTTTGATACTTTTTTCTATTTCAGCATTAACTTCCCGTCCTTTCGCTCCCGACCTCGTCGTTTCCTTCACCCTCACCTGTATTGTTCTTCCCGCAGTGCTCATCAGATTATCTCTGCATCCTCACCCTAATCCCCAAACCCGATACAGGGATCTCCGGTACAATCACTTCTTCGGCCCTTTTCCCGACATCAAAGCCTTGGACCAGCTGAATTTCCTGTAAGCTTCCTTGGCCTGTATGTATGTAAGTAAGCTTGCTTTTATCATGTGAGCTTGCTGCTGGCATGTGAACTTGCTTTGAGCATGGGATCTTCTGTTTGTGTGTTGCTGCTTGGCGTTTCAGAGACATCTCTCACAACTTCTTTGCAGGAGCCATCCCAACGACGACTAATATGAGCCTCTTGACAAGTCTGTGAGTACTGTAACTGTTGCTTGCGGGGCATGCACCCATGTACTGTTTATGAGAGCACACACCCATGTGTTGCTTGTGAGAGCGCATACCCTTCCCACTGCCGTCCATTGCATGATCCCCCGCCTTACGCCGCATGTCTGCGTCCCCCACCCATGCAGCTATCTGGAGTACAACTACTTTACGTCTGGGTCCATTGTGGATGAAATCTGTAATCAGCTTGACTATGTGGGGGTCACAAGCAACTGCTTCTCCCAGCACGACGTGCCGTGCCAGCTGGGCGACTGGCAGCTTCGGGACTGCTCTGATTTCTGCGGGATGAAACCTCCCTCCAACCCCCCCTGTAACGGCCATGGGTACTGCTACGGAGAGAACTTGAATGCAGAATGGTGGAAGCAGAGCGACATGAAGTGTCGGTGCTTGAATGGTTATGGACACGAAGGGTCAGATGAAGCGTCCTGCGTTTCTACACTGGAGAGCTCTCAGGGTGCGTCCCGTGGTGGTATTCTAGAGTGGAGAATTCTCAGACCCTGAGTTCTCAGAGTGGAGAATGCCATCTTGTTCTCACAGAGCCACGAAAGTCGTCATCCATTCTCTTGTTCTCCCTTCGTGCATATGTTTTCTTGCCTCTTGTTCCCCCCGTGCTTTTTCCCACCACAGATCCTCGAGATGAATGGTCCTATGCTTTTGTGTGCCCTGTTACAAAGGATCTATGCCCCACCAGGTGGTTTTTCCTTTGCTTCTTCTCTTCTGAAAAGGAAACATTCCTCCCGTCTGAACATGCTGTGGTGCCAGCTGAAGTGATGGAGGGCCTGCTGAAGCTGTGGGGCTCAAGGCCTAACGGGCCGTGGCAGTCTGAAACCGTTGATTCCCTCCTGCGTTTCGCCTCCCTTGACCAAAAGTTCATTGTTCAGCTGTGAGTTATCTGTGAGGGGCGTACACGTCCTGCTTATCTGTGAGAACTGCTTGTGGTATGCACGGCGTTGGGATATGTGTAAATTGCTTTGCTAGTGATGTTTCCTCTTGTTTTGCTTCGTCCCCATAGTTGTTCTCTGCCTTTTCATTTTGTTGTTCCCCCTCCCCCGTGACCACCCACTTTCCTCTCGTGGAACCTTCTAGCTACCTACCGCCGTTTCATGTTGTTAGAGTAAAGGAAAGTAAGGGTTTATGAAGGAGAAAGTTGCTCAAGAATGGATTTATGGAGGTTGGGGTGGAAACTCAACCGAACCCAAGGTCAGTTAAGATTGTGTTCGTCTTAGGGTAAACCACGCACGCAAACTCTTATCCGAGAATGTAATCAAGCTTGGCAAATCAAGAACCAGTGCGTGGAAAAACAGGGGAGCGAGCATATGTGAGCCATGTTCACCTCCTTGCTCTCTTTCCACCTAGCTTCATATTCACTCACCCCTCCACATCCTTTCCTCCTCACTTCAGCCCCATCCTTTCCCTTCTCACCGAGTGCAGTGACTTATCAAATCAAGGCCTGTCTGGAGCCATCCCTTCCATTTTGACAAAGCTCACTCGCCTCACACATCTGTGCGTGCATGGCGTTATGCCCCATCCGATTCACAGTATTCGCATCCCACAATCCTGCACTATGCCATCCCTTGTTGGCAAATTCTGTATCTCAAGGTTGTCATTTAGCGCAATGCCTCGACTCAAGGCCTGGTTCTTCATTGCGTCTTTCTGTGTTACGCGGCCTAGAACCACCTGACGTCCTGTTTGCTGAGTTCTTGCCTGCATTGCGTCTTTCTGTGATCCGCCATTATGCTTTGCTTCTTCTCAGCACAATATTTTTACGCCATCCCCCTCTCCCAGCCGCATTCCTCGTTCCAACTTCGTCCTCCATTCTCCATCTCTCCACTTCCCTGTGCAGAAACCTATCAGGCAATGCATTTTCAGGATATGTTCCTAGTTTCCTCATCAGACTACTCAGCCTTCAGACCCTGTGAGCCACAGTTGTTGTCGTCATTAGGTGGCGCTGCTTCGTGCCTGTCCTGTCAGTCACGTCTTTATTGAAGCAGGTTCATTTCTCCACAGCTTCTCTTTGACTTGGCAAATTTCTTCCTTCTCTTGCTTGCTTGCCTTTGGGCGTGCATGCCTCGTGCTGCTGCTCCAGTCCACCTTCCTTGTCCACGAGCTCTAGATTTGTAAGCTAAAAGTGATCGAAGTACACCTGCTGCTGCTGCTTCCATCTGTCTTCCATGTTCAGTTTTGAGCCGCAAAAGTTGATGCTTCTGCTCGACCCCCTCTTCATCCCCGCCATCACACCCCTCACAGAGACCTGTCTGACAATCACCTGTCCGGGTCCATCCCGTCCTCCTTGACCAACCTAACGAATCTTCAGACGTTGTGAGAAGAGCAGACGTTGTGAGAAGAGCAGACGTTGTGAGAAGAGCAGCTGGTAGGAGCATATTTGGGTGATAAAGTGGTCGTTATGGCTTCCTCTCTCGTTTTTGGTGTGCCATGCACTGACTGGGAGCATGCACCTCCAAACGAAGCTGACTCGCCAGTCTCAGGACCACCTGTCAGTCAAAGCTGAAACTTCTAGCCATCATCAGTCTTTTGGCACTCTTCGTCTCAGCTTCCTGTTTTTTTTTTGGCTTCTTTTACCGCCCTGGTATTATGACATACATAGCAGCCTTGTTTTGTACTCAATTCCGCAAACCTTGCTGCATTCCCCTTGTCACTGTTCCTAATAGGTCCCTCAGCAACAACTATCTCTATATCGGAAGTCTCCCCGCCACCATGTGCAACTCATCAACGCTCACACTCTCCCTGCAGAACAACTGCTTCCCCTCCAGCGCCATCCCTTGCACCCTCAACCACTCCCAGCACCCTCCTGAACAATGTTCCGCCTTCTGCGGCCTCTCCGCCCCCTCCACCCTGCCCTGTTCCGGCCACGGCGACTGCTACTGGGATGGGGGAAGCACGAGCAATGCCACGTGTGCGTGCAAAGAGGGGTTTGACAACGGAGATGATCCTGGAACATGTACTTCCCTGATTTCACTCGCGGAATGTAAGTCGCTGCGAGGTGAATCTCGATTTGTTAGGGTAGGATGTGGTAACCAGCTTCTATCAAGTACTTACTATTTCATGACAACAGAACCCTTCATTTTCAGCTCAGCATGTCAGCAGTCCTTCTTTGATCTCCAGGACATGGTATGATTGACTCTAGTGTTAAATCAGTCTCTGTTCTTTGCTTGGGTGACTGCTTGTAGGGAAAGTATTGGAGGATCTATCATCTGCATGGAGTGGTTTTGATGGCAGCGGCACATGGAAGAAAACCGCCTCATGCGCGCGCATGAATAACATCAAATGCGATGCCACCAACCATGTCGACCAGCTGTAAGAAGAACCGTCGCTGCCACCTCTTCTTCTCGTCAACTTAACTTTACCACAGATGCCACCAGCCTGGTCTCTTTGACCAACGTACTTTTTCCGCCTAGTGCTTCCTCCTGCCCTTTACGCCCCTCTTGGCGTCCATGCGACTTGCGTTCATCCCCTTGCGTGCATCCCCTCTCACCCGTTCCTCCTCACCCTGGCATGGCAGCAACGTATCGGGGGAAGGCATCCGGGGAGTCATTCCAAAGGCCATCAGTGGCTTGGAGAGCCTGCGCGTGCTGTGAGTGCACTGTGCACGCGCCATGTTGCTGCCTGAATCCACTGGATACTTCATAAACTTCCATGGATCAGCTACACCATCCATCTACTTGCATAGCCACATGTAGCATGCATAATCTTTAATCCCGGGTTTCCCCTTCCGTGGGTGTACATTGCCCATTGTTGGGTCGTGCAGGGATTTGTCCCACAACTACCTGACAGGCACGCTGACGCAGTCTTTAAGCAATCTACTCAACCTTGACGTCCTGTGAGCGCACCCTTTGTCTTAAATCGCCTGTAGTGTTCTCTTTCCTTGCACTGCTTCCCCAAGACAACGTGCAGAGTCGTGCCGATGATTCCTTGATTCTCAAAGCATCGGTGGTCGGTCCCCATCTCTTACATGTGCCTTCCGCTCACATCGTGCAGGGATGTCAGCAACAACTACCTCTACTCGGGCTCTTTCCCCAAGACAACGTGCAGAGTCGCGCTCTCCCTGCACAACAACTGCTTCAATTCCAGCGCCATGCCCTGCGCCCTCACCCACACCCAGCGCTCCCCGGATTGCTCCGCCTTCTGCGGCCTCTCCCCTCCCCTGAACTTGTCCTGTGCCGGCCACGGCAGCTGCTACTGGGATGGGGGGGGGGAGGAAGGCACAGCCACGTGTGCGTGCGAGGAGGGGTACGGGAATGGAGTTGATCCCGGCACATGCATCCAGCTCTTGCCAGATCTGGAATGTAAGCCTCTGTAGTCCCTCCCGTGCATCTGATCCTTCTCTCATCCTCTCCGTTTTCCCTCTTACAGCCACAGAAAGAAATGCGTATGTTGGTAAGATCCACGTCCCTGGCATGCGCCCAAGCTTGCACATGGTTTTTTTTAAGGTGCCTTCATTGAGATATTCGAGGCCGGGATTGCATATGACCCCTCATGATCTGCTTTTCTGAACTGCTTGCCCGCACTGTGTTGCATGTCCACACTGCTTGCTGAATGCAGGGCTTGCTTTGAAATCTCTCAAAGCGGCTTGGGGTGGCTTTGATGGTAGAGGCACGTGGAAGCAGAGCACTCCGTGCGAGCGGTTGAATAGTGTCACGTGCGACGCCACTGACAACCACATAGTCGGCCTGTAAGAACCTCTCTCGGGCTGGTTGACAGGTGCCTCAGACTAACAGCCCATGTGCGTGGTGAAAGCATGGGTCATGCAGCGTGGGCGACCACGTTATGAGCCATGGTGTGATCGTTGCCCCCTTGGACTTATTTTCCTCCGGTCCAACTTACAACGTCACGTCGTGGTGGTGTTGTCATGGAACCAGCACGTCGAGGGTTGACCCCATGGTTCATGATCCTCTGATGTGTCCATTGAGGACTCTGATGTGTCCATTGAGGACTCTGATGTGTCCATTGAGGACTCAGATGTGTCCATTGAGGACTCTGATGTGTCCACTCCACACCTTTTAAGGACGCATGCTCTCTCCTCTTCCTTCTATCGCAGGGACGTTTCCGGGGAAAGCATACGGGGGTACATTCCAAGCGACATCACAGGCCTGTCGCTCCTCACTTTACTGTGCGTGCGCTAGGGAGTCTAACCATCCGAAAGCGCCACCTTCAAGAAACTGTGAATCGCATCACTTGCAGCCTATCACTTGTAGCATAATGGGTTTAGGGTATTACCTCCTAACCCCATTACCTTCTATCACTCGTAGCATAATGGGTTTAGGGTATTACCTCCTAACCCCATTACCTTCTATCACTCGTAGCATTATGGGTTTAGGGTATTACCTCCTAACCCCATTACCTTCTAATACTATCACTTGTAGCATTATGGGTTTAGGGTATTACCTCCTAACCCCATTACCTTCTATCACTTGTAGCATTGAGGTTAGGGTCTTACCTCCTATAGGCTATCGATCGCTCATAGCATAACCTCGCGGGGAGGAGCAACAATGGAGTCGGATGCAGCTTTGTGAGGGCATAGCCGCATAGGTGCAAGCACGTGTGTGAAGGCATATGTGCACGTGCATTCATGTGCACGTGCATGCATGTGGACGCACTTGTGTGGCATGTGCGCCGGATTCTTTGATTCATGTAATGCTTAGTCTCCGTCTTGCCTCTTATTCTCTGGGACGTTGCAACTTCTTGGTTGCCCCTGCCACCCTCCCTCTCCCTTCTCACACCCTTTGTCTTCATGATTCCCTATTTTCAGCAATGTGTCCAGCAACGCCATACTGGGGCCTATTCCAGACTCCATCAGCAGGCTGCAGAGCCTTAAAATCTTGTGGGTTGGAGTTAATGAAGGGGGTTGAATTCGAGAGTGGGATGGACGATGCATGAATCACGCAAAGCTGAGAAATTTTATGAGTCGCTACCGAGTGCACAGTTTTTTTCCGTTCGGCCTAGCATACATTCAGCTCTCAATAAGCAGCCAATGGGTTCAGCATTGGTTTGGTATGATGAGATGAGTAAACCCTTCTGGATTCTTCTTTGGCAGGGACTTGTCACACAACCAGCTGTCAGGAGCTTTGCCAAGTGGGCTCAGCAGCTTGAAAGGGTTGCTAACACTGTAAGCAATCCCCCAGTCAGGGTTTAGGGCTTAGGTGTGTGGCACTGCATGCATATCAGGTGAAGTGGCCATTCCGCCACCGCTTTCTGAACGTTTTTTTTCTCCAACCCGTCTTCCTTCCACATTTTCGGTCTCTTCTGTTCGGCAGGTCCGTGAGCAACAACTATCTCTACGAGGGCACACTTCCCGCCACCATGTGCACCTCATCAGCGCTAACACTCTCCCTGCAGAACAACTGCTTCAACTCCAGCGCCATCCCCTGCAACCTCACGCACACCCAGCGCCCCTCCCAAAACTGTTCCGCCTTCTGCGGCCTCTCCCCTCCCTCCACCCCGCCCTGTGGCGGCCGTGGCTACTGCTTCTGGAAAGGGGGGGAGGAGGAGGGCGTTGCCACGTGCGCGTGTAGGTCAGACTCCAACAGGGGCGGCACCCTTGAAACCTGCGGCGCCATTCCTTCGGACTCGGAGTGTAAGGCTGTTCGCGATAACGGAATGGCGCATGGGTTTTCTGTTTGCATAATTGTGACACCCACGTCTAGTGCAAGAGCATACTGTTTGCTCTCCTTCCCATCTTGTAAAACCCCCAAACCCCCCCCCTCTCCGCCTGCGCCCCCGTCCAATGCACAGGGGCTGCACTGGAAGCATTAACCAAGGCCTGGGGGTATAACGGAAATGGCACGTGGAGAAGCAATGGCAGCTGTTCCAATATGCAGCGCATTCGCTGTGATAATGACAACCACATCATCAGCCTGTAAGGGGATAGCAGGGCTGGAAAGTTGGAAACCACCTGTCAGTCTGTAAGGGTTGATGCAAGGAAACACGCTGCTACTACTGTAAGGTTAGTTGGTTACGCGCATTTGACCATCCGCATGGCGAACGTTTCAGTTCAGGGTTTCACGAGAATGTGCAAACCGCTACTTGCCAATCAAGCAGACATGTGAGAATGTTGTGCTGATTGTTTTTTGCAAGCCACTGCCCCTCTACATGCTGCTAATTGATACAGGGACATGACTTATTCTGGAATTTCGGGAAGCATACCTGTGCTCATTGGGAATCTCGTCCAGCTGACCTCATTGTAAGTGCACATCCACCTGGCTGCACATCCACCCGGCTGCACATCCACCTGGCTGCACATCCACCTGGCTGCACATCCACCTGGCTGCACATCCACCTGGCTGGAAGTCTGTATCCATCTCACCGAATTATTATACCACACCACACCAGACTGAACCACACCACACCACAAGTACAATACTCTTGCGCTCAATGTCCCTGCAGATTGCCCTTTGACCGTGGCATAGCTTCCTGTCTACGAACCCTGATTTTGAGTCGACTCAAAAGCATAACATCCTGTCTACGAACCCTGACCGGCTGCTCCAGGTACCTCCCTTACAACCGCTTAAGTGGCGCCCTTCCAGAGACTATTGGGCAACTTACCAACCTGGTCGACGTGTAAGGGAAGCATGCTGCATGCATCGCCTCTTATGCATGTTGCATGCATCGCCTCGTATGCATGTTGCATGCATCGCCTCGTATGCATGTTGCATGCATCGCCTCGTATGCATGTTGCATCCATCGCCTCGTATGCATGTTGCATGCATCGCCTCATATGCATGTTGCTGGCATCGCCTCATATGCATGTTGCTGGCATCGCCTCATATGCATGTTGCATGCATCGCCGCATATGCATGTTGCCGGCATCGCCTCATATGCATGTTGCATGCATCGCCTCATATGCATGTTGCTGGCATCGCCTCATATGCATGTTGCATGCATCACCTCATATGCATGTTGCTGGCATCGCCTCTTATGCATGTTGCATGCATCGCCGCATATGCATGTTGCCGGCATCGCTTCATATGCAAGTTGCATGCATCGCCTCATATGCATGTTGCCGGCATCGCCTCATATGCATGTTGCATGCATCGCCTCATATGCATGTTGCATGCATCGCCTCATATGCATGTTGCCGGCATCGCCTCATCGATCAAGGTCGCCCTATTTTCGCCTGCCATGGTCTCTGTCCTTCTTTTAGGTGCAATTGAAAAGCACTCGTGAGATCCCGCTCTAAGTATGTATGCGTGCCTTGGGTTCCTTCCATCCCTATGCATGTGAGATCGTCTCAGGCAAATGCACTTCAACTCGCTCTCTGGAGTCCTCCCCAAGTCCATCTCAGCACTGCAAAAACTGGAGACAATGTGAGTGAATCTGGTGAAGAACAGGCATGGCTGTTGGGTTTGGGGAAAAGGGGACTGGAGGGCAGAGAGCGTTTGTGTAAGTAGTTTAGTTTTGAGACGTCTCAAAACAGGCATGACTGTTGCGCTAGGGGAAAATGGGGCTGGAGGGCAGAATCGTTTGACACTTGATGATGGTTGTTGCGAGTGTGTGTTGTCATACCTGGCAGGTACTCTCTGTACCACTATGATCCAACTGCCGAGAAAGATCTGTTGATTGTTTGCTTGCTGGTGCAGGGCTCTTGATGTCAACCAGTTTACAGGCGATATTCCAGATGGAGTCTGTAACATGAGGGCGCTTGTGTATTTGTGAGCGATCTGTGAGGGGGCTTGTGTATTTGTGAGCGATCTGTGAGGGGGCTTGTGTATTTGTGAGCGATCTGTGAGGGGGCTTGTGTATTTGTGAGCGATCTGTGAGGGGGCTTGTGTATTTGTGAGCGATCTGTGAGGGGGCTTGTGTATTTGTGAGCGATCTGTGAGGGGGCTTGTGTATTTGTGAGCGATCTGTGAGGGGGCTTGTGTATTTGTGAGCGATCTGTGAGGGGGCTTGTGTATTTGTGAGCGATCTGTGAGGGGGCTTGTGTATTTGTGAGCGATCTGTGAGGGGGCTTGTGTATTTGTGAGCGATCTGTGAGGGGGCTTGTGTATTTGTGAGCGATCTGTGAGGGGGCTTGTGTATTTGTGAGCGATCTGTGAGGGGGATTGTGTATTTGTGAGCGATCTGTGAGGGGGCTTGTGTATTTGTGAGCGATCTGTGAGGGGGCTTGTGTATTTGTGAGCGATCTGTGAGGGGGCTTGTGTATTTGTGAGCGATCTGTGAGGGGGCTTGTGTATTTGTGAGCGATCTGCCCCCATGGTTTGACGTTCATTACCGTTAAAACCTCTAGAGATAGTCGGCACACCACCTGAAGCATTGCTGTGATTGCTGAGAGAGCAGTGACGACTCGTGCTATTGCATGGGTTTGACTGCTGATAGAGCAGTGACGACTCATGCTATTGCGTGGGTTTGACTTCTTGGCAGGAGTGCCACCTTCATGCGCTCATGCGCTCATGCGCTCATGCGCTCATGCGCTCATGCGCTCATGCGCTCATGCGCTCATGCGCTCATGCGCTCATGCGCTCATGCGCTCATGCGCTCATGCGCTCATGCGCTCATGCGCTCATGCGCTCATGCGCTCATGCGCTCATGCGCTCATGCGCTCATGCGCTCATGCGCTCATGGCTCATGCGCTCATGCGCTCATGCGCTCATGCGCTCATGCGCTCATGCGCTCATGCGCTCATGCGCTCATGCGCTCATGCGCTCATGCGCTCATGCGCTCATGCGCTCATGCGCTCATGCGCTCATGCGCTCATGCGCTCATGCGCTCATGCGCTCATGCGCTCATGCGCTCATGCGCTCATGCGCTCATGCGCTCATGCGCTCATGCGCTCATGCGCTCATGCGCTCATGCGCTCATGCGCTCATGCGCTCATGCGCTCATGCGCTCATGCGCTCATGCGCTCATGCGCTCATGCGCTCATGCGCTCATGTGCTCATGCCGCGTTGATGCCTCTTCCGCGGTGATGCTTGGAGGCGCTTCAGTGCCCTCTGAGTGCTGCATGTAGCAGATAAAACCAAACCAAACCAAACCCCATGTTGTTCTTTGATCGCATTGCCTGTGGACGACAGTTACACGGCGACAAACAGCTTTACGGGGTCCATTCCTGGCTGCATGTCGGCCTTGACAAACCTTCAACTGCTGTAAGCCCATGCTTATTTTTTAGTTGACTCAAAAGGTGACTTTTAAGTCGACTAAAAAAACAGCTTTACGGGGTCCATTCCTGGCTACATGTCGGCCTTGACACACCTTCAGCTGCTGTAAGCCCATGCTTCTAGCATTGCAAGCCCATGCTTCTAGCATTGCAAGCCCATGCTTCTAGCATTGCAAGCCCATGCTTCTAGCATTGCAAGCCCATGCTTCTAGCATTGCAAGCCCATGCTTCTAGCATTGCAAGCCCATGCTTCTAGCATTGCAAGCCCATGCTTCTAGCATTGCAAGCCCAAGATTTTAGGCAGCCCAACTCCGCTTGCCAGTGAGCTGTGGTAAGACGCGTCAGTGACAGGCTATCTCTCATGCCTTTCCAAGTAGGCAACATCGTCTCTGAAGTCCCGCATGTCCGTTCTTCAATAGCCCCCCGTGGATTCTTGCACACACTGCCATCCCATCCCCCTGGTCCCGCCGCACTGTCATCCCAAACTGCTTCTGCTCACAGGGACATGCACCACAATCGTATGTCGGAGCGGTTGCCATCCGATATTGGATTACTGAAAAATCTGGAGTATCTGTGAGTTGCAACATGCTCTGCTTGCTTACACCGTCCGTGGTGACTTTTTTAGAGAGTTGAATCTTGTCTGATTTTATCACTTTGTAACCTGTTTCGTCCTGTGGACACGTGGCAAACAGCAACATTTTCATGCTGAAGTGTTGAAAGTTCTGGAGTTGAGGAGGAGGAAAAAGCTGATAGGGTGGCAGATGACCAGGATTAGAAGGTGGTCCATTTGGGAGAAATCGCCCACCATATGGTTGAAGCCTTTTTTTCTACAACACATTGCACCAGAGGGAACTTGTGCATGTACTAACACACGAAGGATGGCCCTGCATGCATGCCGTGGATGATTGGCAAAACAGGGATTTCAGTTACAACTTGTTTTCCGGACGCATACCTGCTAATATTACTGCCTTGAAGGCTCTCAAGACATTGTAAGTGCTGCCAGCCAGAGCCATTCACCTCTCTCACAGTGCACCCTGTTCGCATGGTGGTGAGGGGAAGTAGAGCACCTTCTGTCTCACCTTCCCCTTCCCTCCAATCACTGCACAGAAACCTGGACAACAACATGCTGAGTGGAGCCGTGGTGACGCTGCCAGCGAGGGTCACTTTCACTGCGCGCTCCAACTATCTCTTCGGGTCCACCCCAAAGTCGTGCAAGGGCAGCCAGTTTGATAACAACTGCTTCCGATTCAAGTATCGCAAGTGCCAAAAAACCCGTGTGCGCCCTGAGAGTACATGGAAAAGGTTTTGCGGGCTCACACGCAAAAGCGCTCCCTGTGGGGGTCATGGAACGTGTCTTTTGGAAGATGCTGCTGGAACGCCTGTGTGTGACTGTAACGAGGGCTATAAAAGAGGGGAGTCCCCAAACACCTGCATCCCAAAAGGTAAATGTTGCTGCATGGCATGGCATGGCATGGCATGGCATGGCATGGCTCTAGAATTTTCGCATGTAACCCTCATCCCCTCCCATCTGTACAGAGTCAGTTTTTGAGGCGCCTCAAACTTTTAGGCGCCCCAAAAATAGATGCCTCTTTTTTTTAAGCGCCTCATAGATTTTCGCATGTAACCCTCATCCCGTCCCATCTGTACACAGTCAGTGGGCTATGACCAATGCAGAACCCCTCTCTCAGGGAGCCTTTTGCCATGTTTACGCTTTGATCAGAGTAGCCTTGCTTGTCAGGGAAATGCACATTTGACAATCGACGTGTTGATGGATCGTACATGCCATCGCCATTTCTGCACTGGCGGCACTCACTCACACCCACCGTATTGCCATCATGTTCTGACCTCCTCTCCATGCTCCCTCTATTCCACCATCCCTACCGCTTTTCCCTCTCATACTCTCCCACTTCATAGGACAAGCCTATCCCCTGGGTGTCAACCTTATCCCGTCCACAGTCACCCTCACCAACCGCACAGCACCATCCTGCAAACCCTTCTTTTATGAGACTCCCTTCAAGCTCTTCTCGTATGAGACCATTAAGAGTGGTTGCGGCCGCGAGCTCTACTTCAAGGCCAGCTTTGCCTTCATGATGATTCCTAACGTCCCTGGCACGGGCGGCAACGGGCTCGCCTTTGTCGTTTCTGCCACGAACAAGCGCGGCAACTGCAGCGGTGTGGGGTATGCGGGGATGGACAAACGCAGCATGGCTGTTGAGTTTGACACGTGGCTGGATAAAGAGCACAACGACATGAGTGCCCAGCATGTTGGGTTGAACCTGAAAGGGAGCCCCTTCTCGAACAAGACTGCTGACATTGAGGATCTGCTTAACAATGGGAAGATTTACTTCGCATGGGTGGAGTACACGCCCAGCCTAACGGCGTCGGGGAGGTTGAAGGTGTTCCTCTCTTCTTCTCTCGACCAGCCCGCCAACCCCTCGCTGTCCATGCCCCTCTCGCTCTGCGACGTCCTTGGGCCCTCCAAGTCAAACCTGTTGTACTACTTTGGCTTTGTGGCGTCATCATCAGAGAGCAATCCGCAGGAGCATGTTGTGGCCATGGCAAACCTTACGACAGGTAAGCTTGTATCACCTAGGCAATGCCGTGCCTGCACTTGCTTGTATCACCTAGGCAATGCTGTGCCTGCACTTGCTTGTATCACCTAGGCAATGCCGTGCCTGAACTTGCTTGTATCACCTAGGCAATGCCGTGCCTGAACTTGCTTGTATCACCTAGGCAATGCCGTGCCTGAACTTGCTTGTATCACCTAAGCAATGCCGTGCCTGAACTTGCTTGTATCACCTAGGCAATGCCGTGCCTGAACTTGCTTGTATCACCTAGGCAATGCCGTGCCTGCACTTGCTTGTATCACCTAGGCAATGCCGTGCCTGAACTTGCTTGTATCACCTAGGCAATGCCGTGCCTGCACTTGCATGTATCATGCAGTTGCCATTGCAAACACCGATCCGAGAAAAACCAATCATACATACATGGACTTGTTGAAAAAAAAAACCAAAACACCATTCTTCATCTCATTTACTCTTCTGTTCTATGCATGCCGTGTTTCCCGGCAGGATATCCGGAACCCCCAAAGCTTCCAGAGAAGAGAAGTAAGTTTGTCGTTCCTGGCTAGGAGCTTGTTGTTCCGGGCCAGAGCTGCTTCTAGTTCGTGCACCAGCCGCTCATGAGAGAGGCCGCTCGGGTGGCGCTTGCGCTTTCTCATGAGAAAACACAAACACAAGCTTGCGCGCACCCGAGGGACCGCATGCTTGCATGTCAAGCGCCGTCACATCTTTGGCTGCAGTTTACTAGCGATGGCAGCTGTAATGATTGCCGCTATGGTGAGTGCAGCGGTAGTGTGTGTCACAACCTTAAGCAATGTGAAGGCATTTCTAGCATAGCAAGCCTGATGGCAGCCCCCCCTCCCTCCTCCCCCCCTCTTTTTTTTTTCAATTCATTCTGTTGCGATCACTCCCATGGCCCCTTATCCTGCTTCCCGCAGCCACGGGCCTGGAGGAGGATGTGGACACGTTCCGCCCCAAGACGACAAGCCCTTTCACGCGCTACGTGAGCGCGGGGTACAAGCCAAGCCAGGATAAGCAAGACTCGTGGAGCGTCAACACGAAATCCACGTGGACCCTTGACCCACTCTGGGTGGCTCGGGACCAAGGCAATTGCTGTAAGACGTGTGGCTGCTGTCGTGTGGACTCATTAGCAGACCAGCCTAGGACGGGTAGGAAGCGTGGAGCATCTGCAAGCTTGAGTAGAAAGGCTCATGTGGCGTGGCTTGAGTAGAAAGGCTCATGTGGCGTGGCTTGAGTAGAAAGGCTCATGTGTGTGCCATGCTAACAGTCGTTTGGATATCCAGGGTTGAAGTCCCCCCCACCCCACCTCCTCCCCCCCCTTTTAGCCTCTGCCAATTCTGGCCCTTGCGTCCTTCAGCTGCTGGTCGACCCCCTGCTAGTTTAGTATTCTCCTTCAGTCGCTAGTTAAAATTCTCAAGAAATACTCTGACCTGTCTCCACTTGTCTCACCTCCCATGACTGCAGCGGGCTGTTGGGCGTATGCAGTGGTGGCGAGCATAGAGGCGGCGTACGGCATCGCCACCTACAACACGACGTACCCGTCGCTCTCCATCGACTCCCTCTTCGCCCTCATGGAGTTGCCCCCCTGCCAGAGCTCCTCACCCACCAAAGCCTTTCAGACCCTCGTTGCCAAGGCTGGCAAGGAGGAAGGCCTTGTGGAAGCCACTTCCTGGACAGGCTCTTCCCTGCCCTCCTCCTCCTCCTCCTCCTCCTCCTCCTCCTCCTCCTCCTCCTCCTCTCTCTCTTCCTTTCTCTCCTGGTCGCCCTTAACCTCATTGATAGCAGCATGGCACCCTCGCTCTCTTGGCAAAACTGCAGCGTGGCACGCCCGCTCTCTTGGCCAAACTGCAATCAATAATCCCCCTCCCGCAGCATCAACACAGCCTGTATGTATTCCTTTCCTTCCATATTTGCTAGCATGTTCTGGCCTCTAGTCTCGCATTGCTGGCCTCTAATACGCGGTGATTCATTGGCAAAGGGGCAAGCATGATGATGCAGAAGTGAACCAATTTTACGTGTGATTTTCCGAGTGAGTCCAGTGGAGGGAGAAGGTGCCTCCAGGCGAGCACGAAGCTTTTACGGGCAAACAGCACCACCAATTTCCCACCCTGTGTGTACCCGTGCCCGTGCCCGTGCCCGTGCCTGTGCTTGTGCGTGTGCGTGTGCGGGCAGAAGAATTACCTGGTGCATGGGTTCGAGAGGGCAAGTTTCCAAGGGTACTTCGGCCTTGTGCTTGCCGTGCAGCGGCAGCCTGTGGTGGTCCACATCGAGGCCACCGCTACCTCTTTCATCACATACAATGGGGTATGAATTCCACAGACCAAGCATAAAGGGAAACCCATCTCTCACGTGAGACTGGATTGTGTATTCGGTGCACCGAATACAGCAACAATTGTGGGCTACCAGCCGACGAATCGACGCTACTGGTTGATTCATTCATTTTTGGAATCACAGGGTTCATTGGTTTTTTTCTGAAGTGAACTGGGCCTTGATCTCAGTGCCCTGTGCGTGCATGCCTTGTCGTCATTCAAGTGTGTCCTTTGTGCTGTGGTCCTTTGTGGCGTCTGTTGCAGTTGCTCAGCTACAACGATCCAGAGTGCTACACGGGCAACCTCAACCACGTTGTACTCGTTACAGGCTACCTTCTGATGGGCACTGATGACAGTCGGCCGCGCATCAATCCGCCCTTCTGGAGCATCCGCAACTCGTGGGGCACGCAGTGGGGGGAGAATGGGTATATTCACATGGGCTTAACGCCAGGGGATGGCATCTGTGGCATCAACGTGCTGCCTGGCATCTACCCCGTCATTAGAAGTGAGTGCTCAAGACACCTCAGACCAGAGCACCCCTGCCCTGTGTCAAACTCGAGTCGCCTTGGCCATCAGATCAGGCTTGTCCAACAGGCCAACAGGCTTGTCAGCCAGTGTCCCCATGCCATCTTTTGCGACCTTTTGCAATCTTTTGCCCATTTTAGCTCACCATGCCCACTGGTCATGCCCTCTAGCCGTTCGTGCCCACTGGTCATGCCCTCTAGCCGTTCGTGCCCACTGGTCATGCCCTCTAGCCGTTCGTGCCCACTGGTCATGCCCTCTAGCCGTTCGTGCCCACTGGTCATGCCCTCTAGCCGTTCGTGCCCACTGGTCATGCCCTCTAGCCGTTCGTGCCCACTGGTCATGCCCTCTAGCCGTTCGTGCCCACTGGTCATGCCCTCTAGCCGTTCGTGCCCACTGGTCATGCCCTCTAGCCGTTCGTGCCCACTGGTCATGCCCTCTAGCCGTTCGTGCCCACTGGTCATGCCCTCTAGCCGTTCGTGCCCACTGGTCATGCCCTCTAGCCGTTCGTGCCCACTGGTCATGCCCTCTAGCCGTTCGTGCCCACTGGTCATGCCCTCTAGCCGTTCGTGCCCACTGGTCATGCCCTCTAGCCGTTCGTGCCCACTGGTCATGCCCTCTAGCCGTTCGTGCCCACTGGTCATGCCCTCTAGCCGTTCGTGCCCACTGGTCATGCCCTCTAGCCGTTCGTGCCCACTGGTCATGCCCTCTAGCCGTTCGTGCCCACTGGTCATGCCCTCTAGCCGTTCGTGCCCACTGGTCATGCCCTCTAGCCGTTCGTGCCCACTGGTCATGCCCTCTAGCCGTTCGTGCCCACTGGTCATGCCCTCTAGCCGTTCGTGCCCACTGGTCATGCCCTCTAGCCGTTCGTGCCCACTGGTCATGCCCTCTAGCCGTTCGTGCCCACTGGTCATGCCCTCTAGCCGTTCGTGCCCACTGGTCATGCCCTCTAGCCGTTCGTGCCAACTAGTTATGCCTGCTAGGGATTTCTGCTAGTCATCCCTGTTTCACATCTTTTTGCCGGTGCCTGGTAGTGACGCCTTTGTGTCTATGTCAGTTGAATCAACATGATGGTTCTCCTCTCTTTCTCCCTGACCCATCAGTCCTCACCGACCCATGCATGAGCAAGGCATACAAGTTGGATGACGAAGTCTCGTCAGTCATGAACCCGTGTGGGAAGTACACATGCCTTCCCAAGGACAATTCCAACAGCTGCGAATGCAAGCATCCGTTCAAAGAGGTTCCCAATGAAGATGGCTCTCACTCCTGCGCATATAGTGAGTCTGCTCTTGTAGACTATGTGTGAGTCTCCTCAATAGGGACGAGCAATCGCGTGAGGACTATGTGTGCTATTCCCTCTAAAGCAGGGTGTTTGTGAGAATTCTCAAAAACACCCTACAAAGGTGAGGACTATGTGTGCTATCCCTCTTAACCCCTTCTGCACCTGTATTTACTGACCCTCTCATAAGCACTTCCAAAAGGCCATAGCTCAAGTAGTAGTCATTCTTGGTGTGGGTAGCCACCCACGAGAAAGGATAGAAAGGTGTGGGCAGCCTAGAGATTTATTGAGCAGCTCAGAAGCGCTGCATGTACGCGAGAAGTATAGACAGGAGGTGTGTTTTGGAATCCTGAACTTGGACAGTAACCCGCACGTAGTCCTGCCCAGTGGCCCCCCCATTTGCTGCAGTGACTTGTCAGTGCGTGTGCGCAGGGCAGCACACCTAACATCAGCTTGCTCCCTCTGTGGCTGCTTGGTTGCTTGCCTCTCAGTTGATGTTTGCAAGGGCAGTGCGCAGAACCCATGTGAGGCGGGCACATGCATCAACGATGAGAAGGGCTCCTACACCTGTATCTGCCCTCCCACTTACATGCTAGACACCACCGTCGATGGCTTCCCAACCTGCTCCACAAGTACGGTAACCCTGTAATCGACCTCCGTAACCCTGTGGATCCCCTCCGCTACAAGCTGCTCCTGTCCACGTGAATTCACTCGCCCTGCCTTTCTTCCACTCCCTGTGTTGACTATCACCAAAATGCATCCCTCCTTCCATCACCCCTGGCCTTAATTCCGTCAGCCATAACAATCATTCTTCTCCCTGGCAAGTGATGACAACTAACTCGTTGCCAGCTGATTCCTTCCTTTGCTTCAGCAATAAGCTCGCACCCTTCCTTCATCCTTGTCTCCCCTCCCCTGTCCTCCCCTGTCCTCCCGTTTCCTCCCCCTTCCACCCCTTCCTTCCCCTCTCTTTCGTTTCCTCCCTCCCTGACTCCCACCATGCCTGTCCGTGGCCAGGTTGGGGCGTTGCCCCCACACTGGTGGTGAGCGGGAGCAACTGGAATTGTTCCGACGTTCATTCTCTCGTCGGGCTCACGCTAGAGCAGTTCGAAACCATGAACCGTGTGAGATTTCTGACTCTGCCTTTTGAGTCGACTCAAAAGTCACCTTTTGATGGCTCAGCCTATAGCAGTTAAAAGCCATGAACCCTGTGAGATTTCTGACTCGGTGTTACATTCCTCATCATGTTGACTGTTCACCACTACTTCACTCACTGGTTCCATGCACTCTCCTTTTGTTGTGAATAATTGGAGGGGGAAGTACATTGATAGCAAGATGTTGCTGCGGCTGCCACAATACTAGTTCCGCTAGTCAGGGTTGAATAAAGTAGAGGTTTTGCGTCGTTCCAATTGCAGGATGTCATCTGCTCGAAGTACCTCACAGAGGGCAGCGTGCTTAGAACGAGGTCAAATGTGATTGCGTGCTCTGCGTTCTACTACACACTGCCAGTGAGTGCTGCTCTCAACTCACGAGTGCTCTGCTGCGTTTCTAAGGCGCTTTGAGGAACCATGCAATCATGCTTGTACGATTCACTGTTTGCACGAGTGTGCAATCATGCTTGTACGATTCACTGTTTCGCATTTCCAGCTGCTACTGTGAAGGCATTGCCCTCTTTCTCTCTCCTTTTTTTTGCGTCACACTTGCATCCACTCTGATGGCACTGCCCTCTTTCCCACCACTTGCCCTCTCTCTCTCTGTCTCCCTCTCCCTCCCTCTCTCCCCCCTCTCTCCCCACTCCCTCTGCCAGAAAGACACCTGCTCCTCAATTGAAACCTTCCTCTGCCAGAAAGACCCCTGCACCCCAGTCAATTTGATGGCGCTCAACCCGGGCCTTGACTGCTCAGCTCTCAAAGTCTCCCGCTCCCTTTGCGTCGAGCGGGACCCTGCAGCTCTGAACACTGTTCCCAGCTGCATTAGTACCAAGTTCATAAGGAACCAGGAGGAGTGCAAGACTAGAGCGACGGATAATAAGATTACTATGGTAGAGTTTTACCGAATGAACCCAGGGCTCAGATGTGACGTTCCTTCACAGTTGGGTGAAGCTGGAAGAACGCAGGTGCAGGTGAGAACATGGCTGGTTGGGATATGGCTTTCTTGAATTGTTCGGTTGATTTCTCTGGCAAGTTTTCAGGGAATGGGGTGATGCTGAGATGAGTGACAAATCTGGGTTGGTGTGTGGGGATGTGGTGTTGGTTGTGGTATTTGCTCTGCCTCTCACATCTGTGTTTCTTTTTTATTCCCCTGGCTGCAGGCTTGTGTGAAAGCAGAGTATCTCGGCTATGGAAGCGGTGGATGTGTCAAAGGAGGAAGGATGAAGTACTTCAAAGCCGGCACATCGTGTATGAGCATCTATGCCAGCCATTTCGGAGGTGATCGGACGAAATTTGAGAAGTTGAACAATAAATGTTCAGGCACTATTGGGGGGAAGCATCTAGCACAGGTGCCTTTATGTGTAAGCTAGAGAAAGTTCCCGATAGATCTAATGGTTTATTAACCCCCGCTTTCTGAGAATAAACTATCATGATCAGGGTCAGGGGTGACATAAGGTATTAGTATAATTTAATGGCTGTATTTATAGACCCTTTGTTTAGCCATTCCCGTCCCTATGTGCAATTATGCGCATGTGTATTCGCGTTCGCACCAGCAACAAGATTACAGCGCGTATTCGCGTCCTTCAGTTCAACCCTGCCAGATCCTCATGCTGGTTGGTCGGTAGCAGGGCCCAAAATTGGTTTTAGGCCACCCTTAGGAATCAGAGTACAAAAAAACTTTCACCCTGACGTCTAGAGCAAAAGTTTTTCCAAGTCTGATTTGGCAGGGTAAAAATTTTTGAACTCTTAGCTGAAAGTGTAGATTTTTTGCCACCCTGTCTAACTCTTGGCATTCTTAGCAAGTTCAAATTTGAGTTCGAAGTGGAATGCGGTACAATACGGTGCTTCACGAAAGAATGGCACGCGAAATGCAGGTGAAACGTGAAACAAGCACGCAGCGAATTTGCGCGTGCGCGGGTTGGGGAAGGTGAGGGGGGTGGGGGGGGGGGGGGGGGTGTGGGGGTGGGGGGGGGGGAGCGTAATGGGTATGGGGGAATCGAATTTGCAGGGGCGGGAGCAGAGCGGGAAGAAAATCAGCAGCATGTGATTGGTCCGGGAGGGACATCGAATTTGCTGGGGCGGGAACAGGGCGGGGAAATTTTTAAATGCTCGTGATTGGGTGTGGTCACCGCACTGTGGTGGGCCATGTGTCTGATTGTTGTGTCGACTTCGCAAAAAAAAAAAAAAAAAGGGTTACGTGGGGTGTGGGGAGAGTGTCTCTTGTGGGGGACTTCGCCATTTCAGATTGGTTGTGGGGGGTGTTGGAAGGATGTCTTTGGGGACTTAGCCGAAATTTCAGTGTTCCAGGTGTGTGGGCGGTTTGTCTCTGGGCACGAGGGACTTAGCCGAAAAATCTTACTTGCAGGGTGGGTGGGAGCAGAGTCCTCCCTAGACCAGGGTCCTTGCTAGGATTTCAGCCCGTCTGAAAGTCAGACCAGGTTTTTTCGCTTCGTCTGGCCATCAGACGGAAATTTTGCAGAAGTCTGAACTTTCAGACGACGTAGAACGAGAAGTCTGAACTTTCAGACGGAAATTTTCGGTACATCGCACACAATTTTGTCTTGGAATCTCCACGCAGCTCTGACTTTCTGCCGAGATTAAAATTTCGCCTTTTTTTCGTTCGCTAGCACCGAAGGGGGTGATGAGACTCGTGGGGCCAAGGTGATGTGTCACGTGCAAAAAAACCCGAGAGACCCTAGGGTTTGCCCCGCCCCCAGGTCTGGTCGATATACGGAGAAAATTTCTACCCAGATAAAATGATTTGTGAATTCTACAAATTCCGGACGGTTCCTTCAAGAGTTCTCCCCCCCCCCCTCCCCCTTGCCCCAACCCCCTCCTCTACAGTACTGTAATCACATGTTCCTGAACTTAGGCATTGTACAAAGTGGTTCGGGCGAGTGCACGTGGGAGGCGAAAAGAACTGGGGGGTGTGAGAATCAAGTTTGCGCAGGCGGGAGGGAAATCGGCACCATCCAGGTGGCAATTTCGTGAAGGGCCAATGGGCGCCCTCACACACACAGCCCCCCCGCAGACAGCCTACAGCGCACATCGGCAAATCAATTTTGAAGGGCCAATCAAACCCCTCACACCGCCTCCAGCACAAAGTGGGAGGTAAATTTAGTGAAGGGCTAGTCAGTTCCCTCACACAGCCCCCCAGCATGCATTGGCCTCTGATTCTGGTGGAGCCAGATAACACCCTCACACAGACCCCCAGCAAGTATCGGGCCCTGATTTTGGCTAAGGGCCAATCAGCGCTCTCATACCACAGGCCTCCAGAAAACGTTTCCAGACGAAAAAATCCGCGCTGTCTGCAGACTCATACGAAATATTACACGCAGTCTTAAATTTCAGATGAAAATAAAACATCGCTCTTAACAATCAGACGGATTTTTCAGGGCTGTCTAAACTTTCAAATGAACCTAAAAAATCAGGTCTGAAAATCAGACCATCAGACCAATTTCGTCTGATAAAAAGGGCCCTGCCCTAGACTTTTTGGATGATGTGATGGATCAGAAAAATGTAATGTGAATTTCTGTTGTAACAGACGAAATATTATTTGAAGTCTATTAGTGCACTAGAAAGGAGGGAGCAGCAGCAGTCCATTTATGATTGCAATCTACTCTGTGTCTCTATTATCTACCACAATCGAAGTCCGCACATCTACACGGAGCTGCTCATCCCTACGCTGCTTCTTCAACTTCTTCTTCCTCTTGACCCTAAGCGGCACTGCCCCCTCGGCGTCCTCTTCTGGCTCTACTGCTGCTGATTTTGCTGCTTCTGCTGCTGCTGCTTCTGCTGCTGCTGCTTCTGCTGCTGCCGCCGCCGCCGCTGCTGCTGCTGCCTTCTTGCGGCGCTTACGGGAAGGGAGGGGCATGCCGACTTCTCTGGCCGGGCGCCGCTTCTTCGGCCTCCGCCACATCTCCAGGACATCATCCAAAACGACATCGTACGGCAGAAGGGAAACGCACATCAGGTCCGAGAGGCGGGCATCGCACAGGTTACCGCGAAGCCAGGACTTGATAGCATTTTGGCGGCTGAAGCCGCGCTCACACTCAACGGTGCTGAGTGGGAGAACGGCGACAGCCACCCAGATCCTGATTAGGTTTGGGTAGGTAGCTAGCCTGTCTGACGAGCGCCAGACGTTCTTGAGGCAGTTGAGAAACAAGTGATCCTTGTAGTGGCTGAACATCATGCGTGAGAAGGGCTTCAGTTCACGCTCGGCCGCAGCCCAGTCGACACCTAGGGCAGGGTTTATGCAGACGTGTAAAATTAACAAGGCATTAGCACTGAACTCGGTCCTAGAGTGCATAACACATGCATTTAGTTGTGCAAAGTAGCCAACAGACTCACCTGGCATGTTATACGACTCAGCGCTGAAGAGTTGCTTCAGCGATGCGAACCACTCGGCACAGAGACGATCAAGCCGGGCGTAGTTGTCGGGATAGGCGTCGGCGAAGAAGAGCTTGGCGCCGCGGAGTGTGCTGAGGCTCGCCATGCGGGTCTCCAGGTTGGTGATAACGTCCTGCGCAAACAGGGAGGCAAGGGCATGCAGGACTCGAGATCTCCGATGCTGACTTGATCCTTCAGCTGCTTCTCGTGAAGGCGGAAGGTGTGTGTTGCAGGGTTGCCCTCGGAGTCCAAGCCATCCACCGTGACGATCCGCTTGCTGGTAGGTCCATGGTCGTCGAGGAACCCCGTCAGCTTCATGCTCCCCTCGCCGAAGCACACCCCGCAATCGATGTAGCGCGCTCGCAACACGTTGCATGTGTTCTCAACGATGGTGCCGACCTTCGTGACGTCGACCTGAGACAATCGCAGGGTGCGGGAGTTAGAGACCAACACAGTGTAGTAATAAACACTTGCGAGGTCGAGTGCTTACCGCGCGGCGTTGGAACTTGCGATTCAGATCGTGGAGAACGGTTAGAAGGTCAGCGAGGAAAAACAACAAGAAATGGAACGTAAAACTCGTTACCACCTCAAACATCTTCGTGTCGAACTCTCGCAGGAGCAAGATAGCCGCAGGGAGCACATCACAGAGTCTCAGAATTGCCTCACCACGGGAAAGCCAGCGTATATCCTTGATGCCCTGCATCTCGAGCTGCGTCTGGTGGATGTAGTTCTGAAGCTCGAAGAAGCGGGAATGGATGATGATGCTGCGCCCTAGAATGTCTGCGAGGGAGCGCACCATCTTGTCGACCACTCCCAAATCAGGGTTGTTGTTGGCAGCATCCTTGGCTGGCAACGCTTCTCTGCACAGCAAAGCAAGGATGCAATAGTAAGTGTTTTACTCGTAAAAAATGGATCATGCAAGCTCACGCAAATAAACAGCTCACCTATGCGCAATGCAATGGCAGGACATGAGGTGCGGAACACGCTCGCGCAGCTGCGCAACGAGACCGCGTGATGCTCCCGTCATCACCGAAGCCCCATCAGTCGAGATGCCGGAGATCCTTTACAGGTCGAGTCCGGTTGCCTCGAGGTGAGTCAGCAGTGTTGAGAGCAGTGATGCAGCGTCACACCTCTCGACGGTCAAATGCGCGTAGAATTCGGTGATGACGCGGCCGCTCTTGAGGAATGTCAAGTAGACTATCATGTGCTTCCTGCGCCGCCGATCGGTGCTCTCATCCAACTGGATCCCGACGAATGGTGTCGCGAGGATGTGCTTCATCTAGCGCGCACGGGGGTAGACGACCAGTTGCCTCCGTGAGTTGCCCGGAAAATCCCATACCTGCCAAGAGCACACAAAACATGGTGTTAGAATGTGGTCAAGACTCTACGACATGCACTTCATGCATGGCTTCTGGCTGGTCTACGAAGCATCGTTTCGGCTGTTGGGTCGACAGTCGGTGGCAGTCGCTGGTTGCTCTACCTGGCTGTGTCTGAAGCTGTGGGGTCGCTATTAGATGACGGGGGGGAGCAGAGAGACGGACGTGCGGAACTCGAGTGCGGGCGAATCGATTGTACTCTGAGTGAAGCGCCCAGAGGTGTGCCTGGACGGGAGCAGCACGTTTTTCCTACAGCTAGAGGCGGCGGAGATGGGGTGGAACGCGGTGGAGAGCGTGGAATGGCGGGTGGGCTATGTGTGGGAGGATTCACCCGCATCCTCATCAAGGTCCCCGCAGTTTCCAGAGGCGGGAACGTTTGCTGCTGCGGAAGTGGCGGAAGTCCTCTGGCTACTCTACTCGGCGGTCCTCGTATAAGATCTAAGCCAGTTACTGGCCTAGTTTCGTATGGGCCGTTTGAGTATGCCTCGTCATGAGTACCCGCACGGTATGCAACTGCGCCTGCATCCATGGCGAGATACAGGATGCACGGCGGAAATATGGATCGCTGAAACAAACCTACGAGGAGCTAGCACGGCGACTGGAAAATCAGACTGCCGTGGGGCCTCCAGTGGGGGTGATGGTGAGCTGTGGGAGGGAAGGATGGAGAAGTCGAACTCACAATCGGCTCCGATTCTTCCGTTCCCGAGCCGCCTTTGCATTTCGTGAGGGATCGGCAAGGAATGTGCCTCCGATGTCG